TAATCAAAACTCACAAAGTGTCTTGACAAGTTACGAGACGTTTGGCTGTTTGGGACTGTTCTTGTTCGGTTGAGTTTATACTAAAATTTAGAGTATTGATGCTGAGCCATGAGCACTCTTCCTAGCTTCCTTTTTAAAACGTATTGACTTTCAAAAGATACGGTAATTTTACCTTTATTTTTCCAATTTCTTTTTCCAATTTATTTACTTTTTGGTCCCTTTCAACTTCCTTTATGAACAAATCAAACAAAAAATGATAGATTGAATAAAGAGAGGCAACGTTGCTGTATCTTTCAGAAGTTGACACATTTTAGAAACTAATGAAAAACTAATGAAAAATCTTCCCAAAATACAGCTGACCTTTTCTCAACAAGCAGAGTCCCGATAATTCCAAGAAATAGGCCCAGGAAATAGGTAATGAGTACACAAAAATTGAGTAAACTGTAGGGGTTGTTGGATCTTTGAAGTGCGGATTTTGATCTCAAAAATATTTTCAATCAAAGTTAATTCAAAGTTTCCTTATTGAACTCAAGTAAAGGTCAAGTAAAGGTACATTTTTTAAACTTACAAAGATTGAGGCAGTAATTCGATGTGTTCGGCAGTCATTTGAGAAAAAAGGCGCAAATTAGTTGGGTTTTAATGGAATCAGTACTCACAAAGCAATTGCAAACAAATGACAGAGCGTTTACAAAAGAAATCTCTTAAAATCGACTCTTTTAAAAGGAAATGAAAATTTCCGTTTCATATCCATTTCCGCTGACTTTGCGTTAGCCAAAAGGCGCTCGATTTTCCGAAAAGGAATGACCTTGCTTCTTTTTCTATTAAATTGGGATAATGTTTTGCCATGAAAATGCATGAAAATGCCATCAGCACCATATTTTATTTGTCTGAACATTCATCAGTTTCAACCAATCCGGAAATGACTCTGAAATGACCGGTTTCTTGCAAACGAATCTCGCTTGTGCCATGGTAAGATCTTCTGTATAAAACAAAAGGAATGTTGAATCAAACAGTCGACTTCGAAACATTAAGCTTCAGCATTAAGCATTAAACATCATTAATCGACAACTTTACGCGAAAACAACAGTGGCTGAGCGCCGGCGAACGTGCTATTCCAACCCAAAATCCACGGGAAGACGATCTTATTGTCTGTATGGTAGAACAGCAAGGGTTTGGTGTACTTTGTGTTACTGGAACATGGAAAAACGGTCACTGCGGACTTGTATGCTCATCAGCTGGTGTATAAATCAATGGAACGGTGTACAAATCAATGGAACGCCAGGGTGCGGACATGACTTCGGTGAAGCTCTTGCATGACAATGCTAAGCCGCATGTTGCGAAAATCACACAGCAGAAAATCGAAGAATTTGGATGGGAAGTCCTGCCTCGCCCGCCATATTCTCCTGATATGACTTCAAGTGATTATCACCTATTTGGTTCGATGCAGCACTTTTCTGAAGGAGAAGCAGTTCAAGAATGATGATGAGGTCCGTAACTGGGTGCTAAACTATTTTGAGTCCCAGGAGTCCCAGTTCTTGGCATTCGGTCTCTTCGCGTTCGATGGAGGAAAGTCATCGATGCTTGTTTTGAATATTTCGATGAATAAAGATTTCTCGCTTTGATGTTATGTTTTTTTTTTTAAATTTACCGTCAAATCGGCAGTTTCTTTTGCACCACCCTACTATTGGGTTGGGGACTATGACTCGGCGCCGAAAACCAAAAAAATGTCTAAAACTTCTATTCGACTTCGTCAAATAATATGCGTTTGATATCAGTAGAATGGTTAACTAATTCTCTACAAAACGACATTTAAAAGAAAATTCAAACAGCGCCTCCGCTCAAGAAAAAAGCCATTTTTTCACAAAAACTACAAACTGTGATCTAGAAAAAACCATTGGTGGGATCTTCCTGCAAATTTGGCAACTTAAGTAATTGAATGTGCTCTATCTTTTTTATATAAACACCAAAGAAGGTTTATGTGAAAGAAACTGTTCAAATGATGAGTCGCACTCTTTGCCATTTTAACCAGCTGCGTTTGGAAGTTCATAAACTCCACGAAAGAAAAGCTTTGTGGAATCTCTCAAAAGTCATTTTGTAGAGAAATAGTGGATCCTTTTGATGAAACCAAACGTATGTTTAAAGAAGGCTTTATGTGTGCAAAAAGTCCCTTTAAAGTTTGGCGCCGACTCATTCTCCCCAACCCAATAGATTGATATTAAAAATTTCAGAAAATCGACTTACCAAAAAAAATACAAATTTTAAAATGTCAATAAGTTGAATTCCAAATTTACTAATTGATTTTAGTTTTCCTCTAAATAGCGGTCAGTAATGAAAAGTTGAAATTTGACAAAAGGTTTGACCGAGCTGCTTCTTTCAACTCCTAGAACTTATACAACTTATAGAAACGGCTTAGAACCAAAATCTTTTGAATTTAAGTTAATAAGAGTGTATAATCAATGATGTTTATAAGTTAATAAGAGTGTATAATCAAAGTTAAAGTCAATTTGCATGCGAAGAACGAGTCAAAAAGGTTTGTCCGGATTATTTCTGATCACTGAATCAAATTTACTCAAATCGGTTTACACAAACATTTTTTCGTTATTTGCAAAAGACATTTACCGTATTCTCTCTAATAGTAGTGCGCACTACTATTTTTTGAACCCCCTCCTCGACCGCAATACTATTAGAGGGTGCACTACTATTAAAGAGTTTTATCATTCACCAAAGTAAGACAGATATAAACTTTATTCCAAAAATTCTTGCAACTCTTTCACGTACTCCTTTGGCTCCTTTTGACATACAGTTGTGGGCCGGCGAGTTGACAATTTGTGTCTTGGACAAACAACAAAAAGATGTTTTTGCCTTTTGCACAACAATTTTAGATTTTTTGCTAACTTTTTCATGTGAAGAATAGTTAATAAATGAATAAAAAAGTCTCACTTTTGCTTGCTTGAATAGCTTTAGAATGTCACATAAACATAAAGTCAAAAAGGTTTAGATGAAAAAGAAGCAAACAGAAATTCAAATTTTCGGGGGTGCACTACTATTTTTTTCAACCCCCTCCTGGACCGCAATACTATTAGAGAGTGCACTACTATTAAAGAGTGCACCTCTATTAGAGAGAATACGGTATTTAGAAGAGTGATCGGACTGCCAGACAGAATGTACTGTCAGACATCAATCCTTTCTTCACATCTCCGATCGGCAGCTACGTCGAGTGATCGGACGAGAGCCACAAGTCGACCACGGCAAAGAATTCCCAGCGAAAGATCATATAAGCCATAGTTCATGGGAAAAAATAAAATTTTATCAACTTCTTTTCAGAGCAACGCTTTACATAACACTTTCGAATAAACCTTTAGTTGTTAATTCAAGCCAAAATCATCGCAAAATCATCGCAATCATCGCCAAACCAAAAGCAGCTAAACGTTCAAAGAAAAAGCATTCCGATTATTTCAATTTGAGTTTAATTTGAGTTCAATTTGAGTTCAATTTGCGAATTTCAAGTCTATTAAGATCTAATTCAGAACTTTCTAGCCAGTTCAAGGATCTTTTGTTGTTTAGCTCTTTATGAAATTCACCTCTCTATAATCAAATCAAATTCACCTCTCTATAATCTGTTGTTACAACTTTTTCCCTCCTCAGTGTTCCCTTTTCTTTCTCAAAGGGCACCATCTGTTCTCCAAGGAAAGGGGTTCAGGCTAAAGGCCACTCTAAACGAGTCATTGCCGAATGGGCAAGAAGAAGCCGAGGATGAGTCAGCTGACAGTCGAAACATTGATTTCTTTATTTCTTCTGCTTTCTCCTTTCTTCTGCGTTCTCCTCATTATTGACCATTATTGAACTCATTTTTATACTAGACGCTACTTATTGTCGATAAAATATTATATGAGAAATAAGGAATATGTAGAAGTATATTTATTGGGTTGGTGAATTGAAAACTGCCGGCTATTGTCAAATGTGACAGTTTGAACATTTTCTTCAAAAGAAACCCATTTTGATGTCAATAGAAAAGTTGTAGAGAATCAAAAATCAAGCTTATATCCAAATTTTCAGAACGATTCAAAAACTGGTTTTCAAGAAATGCGAAATTTACGAATTTTCATAAAACTTGCAACAAAACTTGCATTTTAAGCGAAACTACTAAGTGTATCTTTTTGGAAATTTGGCTATAAGTCTAATTTTTGATTCTTTACAACTTTTCCATTGACACCAAAATGGGTTTCTTTTGAAGAAAGTGCTCAAATGCTCAAACTGGGACATCTCCAGTCCTCGATTTTTGAGTCTCACCCTTGTCTCACACACAAACCAAAATCCTACTACGAAAGAGGAGACGAAAATCCGCAAATTGCCTGTAAAATGGGCAGAAGTCGTCAATAATAATGGAAACTATTTGGAATGAATTCATGGTTTTATGTTCAATAAATTTTAGTTCAAAGTCCCGCAGTTTTCAATTCACCAACCCAATATTATATAAATCAAGCTGAAAAGCTCAACATAGCTAATTGTTGAGCTTGTTAGCTAATCGTTAATTTTATAAGCTTTTCTTATCACCAGAAAATTTGAAACTAGCTTTTTTTCATTCTTCTTTTGTTCTGTGTAATTATTGAATCTTCAAAACCCCAAGTTCCTGTTGTTTTTGTTTAGAGTACGCATATATTATATTTGTACGCATATATTATATTTAGACAGCAAGGAAATATTATATTTGGGTAAGTGGATGAATCGAGAGATAACTGCGTACTCTTTTTCTTTAAAACATCTTTATCCGCTGTTGAAGTCCAAAAGGAATCAAAAATTGGAAAGTCCACGGAGTCATTGATTTAAAAGGAGCTCTCTCACCTTATGAAAACTTGAAACTAGATTCTTTTTGTTGTATCATTCTTTGTTTCCAATCTGCTTCTTATTTCTAGTCATCGTTAAATGTTCCCAAAATGAAAATCTTGTTAAATCAAATGTTAAATGTTAAATTAATTTAGGTTAAAACCTTCAGACTTATAATGAACGTCTTGAGCAATGGAAATGAGCATGAGACTGGGGTCAAAACACTTGAAAATTCTTTGTCAAACTGTAATCACTTATTTCCAATCAGTCAGCTCTCTTATTCACTTCAAAAACTCATTCTATCAAAGTTGAAAATTGACGAACGGAAGGATTTAGGTGAGAAAGTCATTGGTTCTTTTAAATTGGTCATTGGTTCTGAAACTTTTCAGCCTTTACAAATCGCACCTTTCGCAAGCTAATTGCTTCATTTGGACCATTACAGGAAAGGATTCTGGAGATACGATTCAAGGAAAAGGTAAGAATTTCTTTACTTAGAAAGAAAAGTATTTTAGAAGATTCTATTGCCTAACAGAGATGAGCTTATCGAGATCCCGATAGACTTTGCCTTGCGATTCTTTTCGAATTATTTAAGAATCAAGAGGATTTCTTTGGATCTCATTGTTCAAGAGCCGAATTTGGAAATAGTGAGTACATAGAAATTCACATGAGTACATAGAAATTCACATGAGTACATAGAAATGCACATGAGTACATAGAAATGCACATAAGTACATAGAAATTCACATAAGTACATAGAAATGCACATAAGTACATAGAAATTGACATGAGTACATAGAAATTGAAATGAGTACATAGAAATGCACATAAGTACATAGAAATTCACATAAGTACATAGAAATGCACATAAGTACATAGAAATTGACATGAGTACATAGAAATTCACATAAGTACATAGAAATTGAAATGAGTACATAGAAATTGACATGAGTACATAGAAATTCACATAAGTACATAGAAATTCACATAAAAAGTTATAAAAGACGATTATAAAAGCTTAAAGCAATTGAATATCTTGCAAAGGCTTAAAGCAATTGAATATCTTGCAGCCTTTGCATTTTGCAGCCTTTGCATTTTGCATCAAATTCTAGTGTCTTGTAAGGAAAATGTGCGGATAAAGTTGAAGCCTTTCTGAAGTTTGTTGAAGACAAACTCTTTACTTGTTACCTACCTTTCTACTTTTGAAATGAAAATACTCTTATCAACTGTAAATATTTTTCCAGCTCCCGAAAGACATCTACGAGTTAGAGCTGAATTTCCGATGCACCGTGCCACTCGTTCGCTTTTTGACGAAATTCCTGATCACTCGCCAGAAAATCCCAATCACGGTGAAACCTTTTACAATTACAATTACAATTACATTTACAATTACAATTACATTTACAATTACAATTACTTACAATCGTCCACAAAAGTATTGACCCATTGCCATCCAAAACTCCAAAACAAAAATTCGTACGAAAATCTTGCAAAAGAACGATATTCCCAAAAAGTGTAGGGTTTCTTGCTTACCCATAATACTCTAATTTTCAGGAGTATAAGATTTATCCGTATACATTGCATAAAAATTAAAGTATAAAACAAAAACAATAAGTTAACAAAAAAACAAAACAATAACAAACAATACTTACAGCTCCACAAAAGTAATGTCCCATTTGCAAAGAATTAACAATTTTTTCAAAAAATCAATATTTGGTTGGTCCTTATTTTGCTTTTATCCCTCCATTGAGTCGGTCCGGCATGAAATTCACGATCCGGCATGGATTTTTCAAAAAACTTGGGTGGATGGTGGCACGTTGAATATCAACCCATAAGGCGGCCTTCGAATCGAATTTCTTTCCCTTGAGGCGCGACTTCGCAAATGACCACAAATGTTCAATTGGGTCGAGATCCGGTGAGTAGGGAGGTGGATTGATCAATTTAACACAATTTGCCGCAAACGATCCGGACAGGCGGGTAAAAGTACCATTTTGAAGTGTCACCAACCGTCCCATCATCAGTCTCGACTTGTGTTTCGGGTCGTTGTCCTGGTAAAGCATCCATCCGGGAGGCATCGTTTGATTGGCAAAGGGAAGCATTTGGGTCTCCATAATATTCTTGTAAGCTTAAGAGGTTAAACGCCTTCAATTCAAGCGTAGCCGCTGCCTGCTTGCGCCTACCTGCCTGCCTGCTGCCATACACCAAAGAAAAACTTAAGAAAAGTTACAAAACTGAGGAAAAAGCCTCAAAAAATAGAAAAACATCAAAGTCATAGCATCAAAATAACGAGAAATCAGTTTGAAAATATTGGTGAATCGATTGAATCGATTGGTGAATCGATTGAATCGATTGAATCGATTGGTGAATCGATTCAGCATCATCAAAAACCCCCAATGTAAAATTTCAACATGTCAAGACGAGTTTATAGATTGCCTTTGCACCAAGGAATTAGTGAGCTGAGGAAAAAGGCTTTGAACTCTTGGTAGAAAGCATTGGACTAGTGCTTGGACTAGTGTTTGGACTAGTGCTTGGACTAGTGCTTGAACTAGTGCTTGAACTAGTGCTTGAACTAGTGCTTGAACTAGTGATTGGACTAAACATGAAAAAGCAAAATTGATACTGTGAAATTTGAAACAAAATACTATCAGACGATCAAAAACTGGAAATTTTTGAAAGCTGGATGTATTAGACTATAAAAAACAAATTTTGGCAAAAGCTTGATGCGCGATAAATCTTCTTCTTTGATACTGATAAATTTGAAACAGTATAAAAGGTAAAACTAATGAAAAAGCTACTCTATCAATACAAAAGAACGCATTTACAGCCAAATTTGCATGATTTACTTTTATTTAGCTTCACCTTTCCTTCGAAAGAACCAAAGAAACCACTTGTGATTGTCATCCCCGATGCTCGAACAATCCACAAACTCTACAGAAAATCTTTCGAACGAAATTGGTTTGTGAAAACTAAAAAGCCAAGTTATTGAACTTGGCTTTTTAGTTTTCACAAACCAATTTCACAAACCTTTTAGCCATTGAGATTTCGAACAATTGCCTTTCAATCCAAACCTGCCAACGAGATCCCATTTTCTTTATCGTTTGGCCATCCGGATATTCGTTTCTTTGATCCCGATTCGGAATACATTGAAGCACTTTTAGAGGTTTGGAATTAGATTGATTGGCGAGCAGATAGGATTGGATCTTTCTGAAAAAGATCAAAAGAAAGATTCGAAATTTAAAGATCTAGCTGATTACTATTTTTGGCCGGTCATGGATCTTGGGTTCTTTGAAACATGAACTTTTCAGCGTCTCTCCAGTGGAATCGTTGACAACGAGTCGAGAATTATCGGGTTTCATTTTGCAAATCACAAGCAATTTGCGGGAATTGTTCAACAGCTAAAGGTTAGTCTGACAAATATCAGTCTTTGTTGCCTTTGTTGCCTTTGTTGCCTTTGTTGCCTTTGTTGCCTTTGTTCCCTTTGTTGCCTTTGTTACTGTTTATAAAATGGTAATAAGTGCAGGAAGACTAATTAAATAAAAGTTGTCAATTTTTGAGCTGATAGATTTTAAACTGAGAAATTAAATACAGTGAGACTCTACCGTAATTACATAATAACCAACCGTAATACCGTATTCTCTCTAATAGTAGTGCGCACTACTATTTTTTCAACCCCCTCCTGGACCGCAATACTATTAGAGAGTGCACTACTATTAAAGAGTTTTATCATTTACCAAAGTAAGACTTGTTTCTTTGTTCCAATATAAGATTTGTTCCAAAAATTCTTGCAAAAAAAGTAACTTTCTAAAAATTTATTGGCTTCTGATAACAAAAAGTTAACTAAACAAAAAAATCTACAACAGAATCATCATCCTTATCCAGTTCAATATTTTTGCGTTGATCCTTTACTCCGTTGATCGATTGTTCGAGACGAGCATTGGCGAGAAGTGTTGCGCCTTCAGGAATCGGTCCTTCTTTTTTGAAGCAATGAATGAGACCAATTCCTCATCACCTTTCCACATTAACTTGGCTCGGAATTGAATCATTTTCACTCGCATCTTCTTTGCCCGCATTTCTTGAATCCAAGTAACAAGATCCTTGTCAAAATCGAAATCCTTGGCTTTCGTCCACCGCCTTTGATTCGTTTTTTCTTTTCCGTTATCTCTGTTTTGTTTCTCGAGTTCTTCCTTTTGCTGCCCATTTTTGGATGTTTTGACGACTGATCCAAATTTTCGCGCTGCAGCCGACTTATTCTTTATTTTTCAGCAAAATCGATCCTTTCAGCTTTGTTTGAACGTCGAAACATCGTCGCTTTTTCGCGGATGGTGCATCCGATTCACACGAAGCCTCCTCGGCAACATCATTGGCCATGTTGTAGCTAGCGTCTTGCTCGGTCACTTGATTGTGGATCCTCTTGAAGAATTGCACATGTTCCTCGTGTTCACGACGAGCTCGAAAATTCTCGAATCCATCAAGCGGTTCCCATCGAGATCCATGCCTAAAGAAAAAGATTATTTGGACAATAGTAAAGGTGACCAACAAAAATTATATAATATTAAAATCGAACATGATGGATTATTTTCTAGGATTGAGCTTTGATAACAATAAAGTTAAGCGCCACAAAAGGTAAGTCAATCTCAAACTTTATACAGGTATATAAGAGCAAAAAGCGACTATAGCTTTGCGCGGAATTCGTAAGAAAATTTGAGTTAATGTACCACTAAAACAACGTGTAGAAACAACAAAAAGATGTTTTGGCACTTTGCACAACAATTTTAGTTTTTTTGCTAAGTTTTTCAGGTGAAGAATAGTTAAAAAATGAATAAAAAAGCCTCGCTTTTGCTTGCTTGAATAGCTTTAGAATGCAACATAAACATAAAGATATTCAGTCAAAAAGGTTGAGATGAAAAAGGAGCACAATAAATGCAAATTTTTGAGGGTGCACTACTATTTTTTCAACCCCCTCTCGGACCGCAATACTATTAGAGAGTGCAATACTATTAGAGAGTGCAATACTAATAGAGGGAATACGGTAAACAGTTTTTTTAAAAGTAATAACCTCTTTTCTTATTTAAAAGTTAAGAAACTGAACTAAATAGGGTCTGCCAATTTTGATGCTAATAAACTTGAAACTGACAAGATGGTATGGAGGAATTATAGGTTTTTGAATTTGATTGCTTCATTTAAGCTGTATAACACCCAATTTAAGCTACCGGAACTGATTCTGTAATTATTTTTTGCCCAATCCTTTGCAATTGCAGGAAAAATAGAGCGGAAATTCCAATGCCGGAGATCGAACCTAGCTTGTAGCGTAGCGAACCTTGTAGCGTAATAACTTACCAGTTGGCCACCAAACAATTTGTCGTAGCGGCTTAACTTCGTCTTATCGCAGCGACTTAACCTCCGAAAAATTCCCGCTCTATTTTCCCTGTAAAGAATTGGGCAAAAACTACTTACAGTTTCAAGTCCGGTACTACCGGACCGGTAGCTCAAATTGGGTCGGATGATGAACCAGTCAAAGTTCTAAAAACTCATAATGTCTCTATACATTCTCTTTGTGAGGAACTTAACATAGTAAGGCTTATCGTAACGTCTGCAATCCGGCACTCTCATCCTATTCAGACGGCAAGTTTCTAATGCTAATATTTGATTGATGCTAATGATTTGAAACAAAGTAATCACAAGTTTCAGCGGATCCCCGCGATAGTTCTCCAAGAAAACCCACTCATTCGGGTTCATCAAATCGAAAGCGAAGTGTGGACAACGGAAAATGGGTACACAATTTGACAAAATCTCAGGAATTTACCTAGTTCAGAAAATGTAAACGTCAACGCGTCACGTGTCAGATCTTTGTTCATTCCCGAATGCTCTATTTCCTGCAAAACTATGAAAATTCTCCCGAAGATTGCCTTGTTTTCCTCTGCGGCGATGACATCTTTCGGAGAGGATTTTGTGAAAATTTTGTTGAGGAATTGTTACCGAGAAAACTTGCAAAAGTGTCAATAAAAGATTGAATCTTTGAAGATTGAAATTGCCAAAAATTACGTTTCAAGTTGTTCCGGATGGGGTAAAACTTGTGAATTTAATATGGCAAAGGTTTGGCTCAAATTTACAGATCTTGTTCATTTTTTTTCATTTTGATAGATTTAAGGCGACCAAATAGGCGTCAATGCTAAATAGAAACCACGAAAAACTGGCTATCCTAGGTCGTTATTTTTCGTATTTTCTACCGTAATTCATATTCTATTGGGTTGATGGAAAAGTCCTTTCCGATTTTTTGGGAGAGTACCTTAAATTTGTCGAATTTTGACGTTTTCTCGCTCATCCTAAAGCTGAATTGAAGACGGGTCGATTGGTAAAAACCGTTTTGAGATATCTCTTTTCTAAAAGTTTTTACAGCTATTTTAGTAAAGCGCGGCAGAGCCAAAAATCTGTTTTCACGTTTCGTTAGTTTCCCGTGCAGAAACCTAGGCTAAAAACATGTGCTTCGTGATCAGCGTCAAAAATAACCCCTAGACACGCATTTTCAGAATCATAGCAAAAAATTTTTGAAAAATATTGTCACCGGTGGAAGTCGAACCAGCGACCCTCAGATCAATAGCCTTTCCGCCGCTTTTCGCGATTTTCCTTCGTTTTTCTCGTTTTCTTCATTCTTCATTCTTCAACATTCTTCAACAAAAAAAAACAAGAAAAACGAAGGAACGAAGTAACCAAGAAAACGGTTATTTTTGACCCTGATCACGAAACACACAATTCAGCTTTAGGGTGAGCTATAAAGCGTCAAAATTGGACAAATTTAAGGTACTCTCCCAAAAAATCGGAAAGGACTTTTCCATCAACCCAATATATTGCACCATTTTAACTGATAAGCAAGTCTACATTTGAGGTGCTAGCAAAAGCGTCACATTATTTGCCCCTCTCATTTGCTCAATATTTTTGCCCCATGTATCATTTGCGCCAAATTCCGCTTTTCCACAAACTTTCCTATCAACTCTGGTCGACTATTTATATTCTTTTTTCGGTTTTTCCTTGTCAACAATTCTCGCTATTTTGCCGCTTTCCGCTTTGCCGCTGAAAATGGCATAAGATCGATATAGAGAGTAAAAAACCTAATCGGGGACGCAAAAATGACTGTTTTTGTGATTTATATAGGGATTTAAACGTGTTTTCTAATTGAAAACAGTGAGAACTAAAATTGTGAAGCAGAAAACAAAAAAAAGTTGGTTAGAAGTTGGAGAAAAGTGATTTGTCATGGTGATTTTCATAAGCGCAAATTTGGCGCAAATGAAATTGGCGCAAAAAACGCGGCGCTTTTTGCTAGCACCTCCTACATTTTGATCATTGCTAAAAGTTTATAGTACATCTTTGAAACGTACAAAATGCTGGGATAATGTGCCAAATCCGTCACCCTTGATTACCTCAGAAAAAGTGGAAAGTCCAAAGATATTGGTGGCTCCCCCAAAGCTAATATTATCTTCGTTTTTACCTTTGTTTTTCTCTCTAAACAGGATTAATGACTTTTTTAGGTGTTATGAACTGGCCCAAGTCCGTGCCGAGGTTTCATACGCTTAGCGAGCCCACAATTGAAGAAGCATGTAATTTTAATTGGTTTTCGAAGATATATCTACTTTTTGTTAGCTCATTCATAGGTGCATAAAGCTTTGTAAAGAGTTGAGTGTCGTAGAGGTTTTCCTAGTAAACATTAGGCAGTGAACATCAGATGTTTTATTTAAACATTTATTTTTATTTGGATCCGGCCAACTCATCAACAACCGCTACCGCATCGACCCGGACAAGTTGCTTGTCCAAGGCACCTTCCAGCAGACGTACCGAGGAATCGACAGCGAGACGGGAAACCCCGTGGTCGTCAAATTCGAAAGTGTGATGGTAATTTTAATTTGGTCTAGCTTTTTAGTAATATAAAAGTTGGTCCATTTGAAAAATTTAGACTCGACACCCGCATTTACAATTGGAAATACCGATCTACCACGATTTGAGAGACTGCCCGGGAGTGCCAAAATTGCATTGGTATTTTTTCCTCAAGTTGGCATCAAATTTATAAATTTAGGAGCGGCGTTGAATCTCGTTATTACATAATGGTCGTCGATTTGCTCGAGGCTACGTTTGCCCAACTCTTCAATTATTGTGGAAAACAGTTCTCGCTGAAAACGACGTTGATGATTGGAATTCAAATGGTCGAACGAATCGAGATGCTGCACAAGAAAGGATATCTACACCGAGGTATCAAACCGGAAAATTTCATGATCGGAGTGAACGACTACAAAAAACGAGTATATATCATCGATTTCGGAATGGCTCAAAGGTAAGGCTTTTTTGCATTTCAGAATGCGGATTCTATTAGTATTAGAAGTTTCTGACACAATCAACTTTTGGATTTTTTAGACTCCCCGTACGCTACGCGATGGATCAATCGATGGTTGGCACGGCAAATTTCATCTCAGTCAACGCGCATCTCGGATTACAACAGACTAGGAGGTTCAATTTGCACCCTTTTTTCACCAATCGAAGCGTTTAGGGACGATTTGGAGTCGCTCGCTTTTGTGCTCGTCTACTTTCTCAAAGGTTCACTTCCATGGTCCGATGTCAAAGTGACAAAGCCCGCACTCCAGTTCCAGCGCGTTTCCGTAATCGTACGTTTTTTTTAAAGAATTTCCATAACTACATTTTTTAGAAAAGGAATACACCATTTGAACGTCTGTGTGGAGACTTGCCAGAAGAATTTCGCCTATTTTTCGAGCATGTACGAAGTTTGACATTTAGTCAAGAGCCCGACTACACTTACCTGAAACGCCTTTTCTCAAAATGCTTGGGGAGGTTTGCATATGCGGTAGGTAGTTTATTTTTGCATTCAGCGAACTCCAAACTTGAATGATTCAAATTATTTTTAGCACGATTACCACTACGATTGGGAAATCAAAAAAGAAAAGGTGGCAATGGAAAAAGCGGCGGAAAAGTTGAATGTAAATATCTAAGTTGTTAATTTTTGTTGGTTTTTATGCGTTTTGTTATTCTTTTTGTTAGTTACTCTGCGTTTTGTTATCTCGTTGATTTTCTACGTTTTGTTATGGATTCAAGTTTTCGAATAAAGACTTCTATGCCAGCAGAAAAATAAAGCGTTTTAGAGTTTATTTATCGAGATATCTTTATATCCTTTTCAGGTTTTCGTTGAAACTCTTATCGAACAGTTGAACTTACATTAGCTGCGTTTCACACCAAATAACGGCAAGACGATGGATCCGCTTGTTGCATTTTTAACGAGACATTAAATTTGCAAAGTTTTTAAATGAGAAATTGCAGAACTTAATGAAATTTTGATTGTGTTCGTGTGAAAAATGCGACTGATTTCAACAGTTTGAAGAAATTGAGTTTAAATTCATTGTTTAGGGCATTTTAATGGTTACTACGTCCCAAACTAAGCGATTATTTTGATTTTTAATTTCCTTTGGAGCTTTTCCAAGTATTCATCTTGTGATTTTTCTTTTTTCAGGAAATTAAATCGCGAAGAGATGACGGAAAATTGGAACGTCGGCAAAATCAGCGGCCTTGACATCGATCATGTGGGATTTTCGCCGGATAACAAGTAAAAATTGACAGTTTATTGTCAGCCAATAGAATTAACAATGGTTGATGCATTCTTGACATTTAAATTATCATTATTAATTAAGTTTCGAGGAGATGTACCCTTTTAACTAGGATCTTTGTTCTACTGGACTCTTTTCATGCACGAATAATTTTACTGCTTTAGATACCTGGCTGGTGTGGCGAGAAACGAGTGCATTGTTTGGGATTGCACAAATGGGCGAAGAGTGGCGACGATTCCTCATGAACAACAACCCGTCGGTGTCTTCTTTCCCATCAATGACAAGGTACGAGTGTTCTGTCACAACTAATACTTTAACGTTTTGATTCGTTATAACGATGATTTAGCTTTAAAACGATTCCGTTAAACCCTTGCTGGTAGGTAAAATGAAACTGTAGAATACAAGTGATCGTTAATAACATTTAAAAGGGTCGTGCCGCTGTTTCTCTTCAATAGCCATTTTCTTTTAGATTGTAACAATTACCCATTATGGAGAGGTCACCGAATTTCATTGGCAAGGCGCTGAGGCACTCGCAACAAAAACAAAAAGCAATAAAGTCGGCAATCATTGGATAAGGTGAGCAGGGTTTCCAAACTTTCAAACTCTCGTTTTAGTGCGATCAACTACAACCCAAACACCCGCTCTTGTTATGTTTCATTGCAAGCCTCGAGTGAAGCTACGGATTCACAAATAATTGCTGAGGTAGACTGATTTGAAGGAAAAGTTATAGTACTTTTTTCAGCTATCTGCTAAGGATGGTCTTTCATTAAAAGAACTTGGACCACTTCCCGCAAAGTCAACATCTCAATCTTGGTCGATTGGGGTGAGTGAAGATTTATGTAATTGCAAAAAATTATAGGTTTGCGCTGAACAGTTGAGTTTTAAAAATGATCCTGATTGTAGCTTCGATATATTCTTTTTAGGATCAATTCTACGTGTATTTCGAGGAAAGAAGCGTCTATCTTCGATCACTGACGGACAGGAAGAAATCAAACTATAAAAATCAGGTCAGCATTGCGAGTTTTCTTCACAATAGCTTTTTTAGGCGGAAGTGGCCAAACGTTCGGCGGAGGCTCACAACTTTTGCAGTATCACCGCGACTGGGAACAACTTTTGTGCCGCGCTTGGACATGGACGAGTTTATATTTGGTGGGTTTAAAAGAATATCCAGGAAAGCATTTGCTGGATGTTAACTAGTGATATATTAAAGTAAAAGGCAATATTAATTTTTACTTGATAGTCCCAGCCATTGAAAGCTCGTTTTAATTATCAGCATAGCTATATTTAGGACAAATGTGATGCCTCGCTGCAACATTCAATCGCCGACCAATTCCATTCACTGGCACCAGGATTCACCACTTCTAGCAATGGCCAACTCGGCGGCTCTCTATTCATACGGTTTGTCATTTAAAGTAAACGTTTATATTCTTGTTTTTTAGCTTACGAGGGTATTCTTGTCCGTTTCTCCTCTGCACGAGCTAAACCAACGTTTTGTCGTAACGATGGATTGGCGAGAAGAATTCAACTTTCTCTGGATGGCTCACTTTTGGCGTTACTTAAAGGTTATTAAATTGTCATTGAGATGATGAAAAAGCTTCAAACTTTTAAATGAACTCAATTCATTATTAACTTTAGATGACAATTCCCTTCAACTCGTTCAAACATCATCATTTGAGGTATACACAACTTGCCAAGGAATCTATCAACCAAGAAAAGGAAACAAACAAATCTGGTGAGTTATTCGGCAACGAAGTTGTAAAATATGATTTTAGGGTATCCGACTACTTGCATCATAACAATATTGTATCTAATTTTCAACCTGGATGGCTACAATGGACGGATGCAATCACTGGAATTGTTCAAAAAACGGCAATATTTTTAAGATTTTATGATAAAAAGATTGATTCAGGCGAACATATCATTGGAAAACGTCGAGAAAGGCGAAACGAAGTCAAACATCACTTATTATCAAATCGAGGACGCATTTTTGGCATCCTACGCGGCATGCACGTTGGAAGCGCGAGTGAATTGGGGAAGTTTACAAGTAAGTCTTCGGATTATCATAGATTAAATGGACAATCCAAAATTAAAATTTTAATTTTGAGGTTGTACCTTTAAAAATGGTACTTTTCCACTTTAACAATTTAAAATGGATTTTTATCGTGGTTTTTCAGAAACGAATTCGGATCTGGGATCGACGCTCGCCGAATCTCCGCCTGCAAGAAACATTTCGTGTTTCGGATGAGACGGTGACGCTCGTTGGATGCCCATCTCCTATTTCACATGATGATAAGGTATAGTTAGTTATCTCTGAAACTTTAACCTAAATTTTAAGATCTTCATTGCGATCACCTCAAAGAGTGAATTCTTCATTTACCGATCGTATATCGATCCATCTGGAGTACTTGTTTGGAGCCAAGATCGATCACGCGATTCTCACTGGCAGGTTGAAAAAGCTTTTAATGAAAATGCAAATGTGTACAATGAGTTTAGAATGCTCAATTCCTTGGTTGTTCGACAGTGCTCGCGGGTGGTTATTGGGTCTCGTTGCATACGACTAAGCTGGAGGGAGACGGCGGATGCGCTGTTTTATGGGATCTGCAAACGGTTTGTTTTTAAATGTAACTAAAGAAGTAAAAGCTCCAATGTGTTAACTACTATCTATAATCAAAAGGCTTTTAAGTTACACGAAAAGGTTAAATCAATTATTCTTTTATTTAGATGAACCCACTTGAAGTCATACAACTCTCTTCAACTCCATTGTATGTCGAATGGGCGACACCGAATCGGTTTATCTTTGCGACAACAAAGGAGGTTAAATGGTTTATGATTTTAAATCATCAATCAATATTTTAGGTGTCGGCTTTTGATTTGCATTCGATGACGCTTGTGTGGACGGTTGAGGAATATTTACCAGTTCATTGCTCATTGCAAGGATGTTATCTTATTGATGGCAATAATGGTGAGTGTTTATTCATTGTTTCCACCCATTTTCTTGATTTAGTACTCGACTTTGATCCAAATTTATGCCTTGTCAAGGAAACGATCGAATTTCCAATGAAGGTTCGCGTTTTGCTATTTGAGATGTGTAATCTGTTTCAGATCAATCGTCTGCTTTTACGCCACATCCCTTCACTATCCAACTCGGTTCAATGTTTGAGCGCTAGATCAACTGACGTGAGTTTGAGCAAAATCTTCGTAAATTGAGCTGTGTTCAGGGATCATTTGTGACTGCCGTTAAGAGGAATGAGATGACCGAGATTTTGCCTGGATGGCAGAACACAAAAGCGGTAAACTTATTTTGGTGTTTTTGAATCATTTACCATTTTTTAGACAATGACGCCATTTGCGGCTTTGTCGGCGAACGGCGAGGATACTGTTGAGAAAGAGGCAATGGCCTACAGGCCGGTGAAAGAGCAAAGAATGGTTCGACCAATACAGGTAGTTGAATAGAAGGACTTAGTAGTGCAAAAAAGATCTCGTTTATATTATCAAATTATCAAACTTTAATTCTAGTTATTCGATGCTCCCGCACATCTCATCCCCTCGTTGTCCACATTGGCGCCAATCTTCATCGCCAGCTGCCTCCTTCCACCAAGCAATCAGGAGATCAAGCCGAAATTAGAAGAAGCCAATTTTTGAGATTGTTTAGACATTTTTTGATTAGGCCTTTGTTATTGTTCCCTTTTTATTTTTTACTTTGGATTGATAAGTTGAAATCACCAAGCCTCTTGTTTTCTTGTTGTTTGGCTTTGGGTTTTGTTGTTCATTGTTACATTCTTTGTTGTTGACACTGTTATGTTTGTTCTTTCTAAGCGGGTATAAATCTTTTTAACAATGGAAATATTTTGGAACTGAGGATCTTTATTTTGAGATGCAAAGAAAAGCTAGAGTTGGACTAACGGATTGGGATTGAAAATATCACAAGTGGAGTCAACGGAAAATCCAGGAAAACAGATTCACGTCATTTGGATGCTTTTGGATAGGTTAAAATGAGGTTTTCAAACAAAAAAAAATTGGTCCTTTAGATGCATAATTTAATTCGCTTTCCACAAAATGATGTACTTGGGGCGAGTTCTGGCCACATCTCGCACAATGTACTCACTCCATGGTGAACCCCAATATGATTGAGCTTGCTGGGTGACGAGCGGCCCGCACGGAACCGTAACACCTGCAAAAATTTTCTTTTATAGAGTTCAAGAGAATTGTGAATCTTTCAACTGAAAAGAGTTTCAAATAGCCTAACTTGGGCCTTTATTCTTTCAACATACAAGCGTGCACTTACTTGTCAGTAACTTGTCAGTAACTTGTAAGTAAGTGCAGGCTTGTATGCCTGATGAATGTCTCTAAACCTTTGACAATGAAGAATCAAGTAAGCTAGAAATCCAAAAGTTTCCCTAACTCTTACGGCTTTGATTAACGATTCCAAGTGGGATGAATCTTATCAATTGGCAATCTATTTTGCCTGGTGAATGTCAATTGGAGACATTCATCAGGCAAAACATTCATGATGCTATAAAATTTGCCGCTTTATCATCAGGAAACTTTTTTTTTCAAAATTCGAATCATTAATCAAATTTTACTACGATTTTGTTTATAAAGGCAAAAATTTGAAAAAATTTAATAAAAGGAAATTTAAGGAAAGGAAATTTAATAAAAGTTTAAATTTAAAAGGGGAAACACTTTAACCTTGATGACGAATAAAGAATGATTTTTGAGTCTAATAACTTCAGCATCCAAATTACCGTCAATGTTGACAGCTTGAAGCATATCTGGCCCCTTTGTCCCGGTCACGTAGCGTGTGTCGAAGTTGAATTGTTTCGGCGTCTCGAAAAGGAAATCCGTTCCGCGTAACGTTTTTCCTGGAGCAATCTGGAAAGCAATCTTTTAACGCAGAGCTAAAGCCATCTTTTAACGCAGAGCTAAAAGCAGCCTAAGCAAGCTATTAGTTTTGCGTTCTAAAAGTTCTATTATTGTTCTTTCATTGTATGGAAAAGGCCAGCATAAACATTGTTTTTTTTTTTTGATGATTTTTTAATTGTTAGTTGTTTTGTTTTGTTATTTTTGTTACCAACGGTAGATTTAAAGAAAGGCTATAAAGGTATAAAGTTATAAAGTTATAAAGCAACAGCATTACTTCAATCTCAATTGCACTTCAATTGAAACGAGATTTCAAGCAGCAGCACCTTTTTTTCTAGTGCTGCTGCTTCTGCTGCTGCTAGCCGAACACTTTGAAACGAGGTGATTCTGTTAAAGCATTTACCTGGCACAACAACATATAGTTGACACCAGCAGCCGACGGCTGGGAATAGGCTTCACTCTTTGAGAAAGTGTCCGCGAAATAGACTCCCTGAAAATTGGGTAATGTGAGGAATTCGTTGATTTTTGATCTTAAAATTTGACGACAAAGGATCCAGTGATCGCTTTAAAGGTTTAATTCTTCCATGAATTTTCACGATTTGTTCAAAATTTTGCTACAAGACTTAAAAGCTATAGATGAAAGATAGCTGATAGCTGATAGCTAATAGCTGATAGCTAATAGCTGATAGCTAATAGCTGATAGCTAATAGCTGATAGCTAATGGCTGATAGCTGATAAAGCTATGATCTTTTCCTGTAAAGCCAGCAAAGTACAGCAAAGTACAACAAAGTTCGGCTTTAATTTTCCAACCTTTCCGTAGGCTTGTCCGCATTGAAGAGCGTTCGAGGGTTGAGAGTGGAAACCGTTCTTCAGAATGCTGATTAGATTCACCGCTTTTGTTCCATGCCACAAGTAACTGGAAATTAGCTGAATTAGAAAGCTTTAATTAGTTAATTAGTTAATTAGAATATCTAATTGCAGCCAAGATAAAAATGGTATTGTTGTGATTTGAAAATTTCAAGTTTCAAAGTTAAGAACTTCTAGTTTATGCTACGAGTGGTAATGTTTCTCTCTACAAGCCACCCTCATAAAATTTTATCGAGAATTCTTTAGTGTATTACATTTTTCACTATAAAAGCTCGGAGCATGGAAATCGTTTTATTTTTAAGTTGCTTTCTCCAACAACAAGCTCACTATCAAATATACAAGGTGCCTCAAGAAAAAGATCCTTTTTCAAACCGAATTTTAGAAAAACTTTAAGTGGCTATTGGTGGCACTCTTGGTGCCAAAACTGTTGTTTCTTTAAGGCAATTTTTTCACTTAGATTTAAGATTTAAGATTTAAGCCGATAACTTTGAAAACTTTGAAATTTTAAAGAAAAAATTTTACAAAATTGAAAGTTTTAAATCAATTTAAAACAATAAACGTTTAAGTAGAGAATTTTTGAGAATTTTGTAAAAGCCATCATCTCTACTGTCCCTACATCTCTACCCGTTTTCCCAAAGGGAATTTTAGAAAAGCTTTAAGTGGCTATTGGTGGCACTCTTGGTGCCAAAACTGTTTTTTCTTTAAGGCAATTTTTTTCACTTTTTTTTATTTCAAATTTCCTCACATTTGCCCATCCTCGTTGATGTGTTTGTTGAATTTCTCGGTGCTCACCCGGCTCGTCACTTCGATCATTCCAAGTACTTTGGCCTAAATTTAAAGCACTTGAATCTCTTGAATCTCTTGAATCACTTGAATCTTTTGAATCTTTTGAATCGTTTTGTTTGAATCGTTTGAATCATTTGAATCGTTTGAATCGTTTGAATCATTTGAATCGTTTAAATCGTTTAAATCGTTTTTTATTTCTTATCGTTTCTTTTTTTATTAAAAATAAGTTTTCTATTATTATTGTAAGCTTTTGAAGAAATTTTTAGTATTCACCTTGCTCGATTCTCTAATACATTGCAAGATTCGCTGAGCGATCGGTTCTTTCGGAGACAACGAGCGGAAATCGCATTCCATCGCCGATTGGATGTAACTGAATAAAAAGATTTTTCAATTTTTATAAGTTTTAATCATTTTTAGCATCATCAAAGCATCTATTTTAAGTTTAAAGTGCTTAAAAAGAGCCGATAGAAATCTATGTTTCAAAAATACTCAAAATGCAACTATTCGACTTGAGGGCAATCAAGACATTGTTCAAAATTGCAATTTTAAACTAAAGATACTCAAAGATAAGATACTCAAAATACTCAAGACTCAAGTTTCAAAAATATTCGGGTTGATAGCAATTAAAACATGTTAAAATGTTAAAATGTTAAAAATTGTTGTTAAAATTGTTGTTAAAATTGCAACTAGAAACTAGAAATTATTTTGTATTGAAAAAAAAAGCTATTGAAGCTAAAAAAAAGCCAAAAAAGCTATTGAATGCTTTATTTTCAGAAATATATTATAATAGGTTGATGCATAAGTGTTTTTGTTCCTTTTCGTCTGCCGTTTCAAGTCAACAAATGCACCAATTAAACTACGGTTGATTTCATTAGAAAAAGCAATTATTTTTCTGCAAAATAACATTAAAACGGGTTTGAAATGTCTTATTTCTGGATTTTTTTGGGAACATGAAGTCGGCTAGTCAAAAGTAGTCAAAAAGTCGGCTTAATGATGTGATTTAGGCACTTTAGCTAAGGAAACCGATCTTGGTATCAATGGATAAAAGATAGAGCATAAAAGGTTAGGTATATAGCCAAATTTTTAGAGAAATTGATTCAGCCAATTTCTTCCTAGGGTTCTTAAAGTCGTGGTCGGGTAGTAAAAAAGGCGGTTCAATGATGGGTCGACAGCTAAAGTAAACCTATTTTGGTGTCCTATCGATAGGTTCCTATAATCCTATATATCTATAGGAAACCTATAGATAAGAGATAGAGCATAAAAGGTTAGGTATATAGCCAAATTTTCAGAGAAGAAAAGACAGAGAAAGAGAAAAGAGAAAAAGTAATCGATTAAGAGAATTCGAAATCTGTAATCCGTTTTTGCTGACGGGCCTTGGTTTTCGAGATATAAGCGTGCACAGTTTTGACAAATTTGGACAAAAACGGAATAGCAGCGGCGGTCTAGTGGATAGTGCGCTAGTCTACAAAACCTTTGACGCTTTTGCTCGCGGGTTCACTTCCGCCAGCTGCCCTAAAATTTCGACAATATGCCTGGCATGCAGCTGGTTATGTCTCCTCCCATCCAGGTGAATCTCCATTGGGATTCTGTTTTATGTCTAAACTTTTGAAAGAGTGTCAATCTCCTAATTGTTTAAATATTGTTTTTGTGAAATGTGCTCGTTTTGATGAAGAATTATGTTTTATTCATTTTGTGAAAGAGTTTCACTTCTGTTGAGATAAATGTTTTTTTTGGTTCTCTACAGATTTGGTTCCTGTTCTATTGTATTAGGTTGATGCATAAGTGTCTTTGTTCCTTTTCGTCTGCCGTTTCAAGCCAACAAATGCACCAATTAAACTACGGTTGATTTCATTAGAAAAAGCAATTATTTTTCTGCAAAATAACATTAAAACGGGTTTAAAAATATTTGATGCCTGGATTTTCTTGAGAGTATGAAGTCGGGTAGTCAAAAAGGGCTAACTCGATGATGCGGTTTAGACACCTTAGCTAAAGAAAACCTATCTTCGTGTCAATAGATAAAAGATAGAGAGAAAAAACGTTTGATATTTCGCCAAAATTTCAGAGAAATTCATTCAGCCAATTTTTCCGTAGAGTTTTTTATAGATTTTTACGAAAAAGGCGTTTTTCACTCTCGAATTTGCTTGAAAGTGAACCGAAATTCATTTAAAAAGATGCAAATTCAACAAAAAAACACTTTTTTTTATAGAGCAAACTATAGATTAATTGGTGAATTTGTTACTTTTTAACAGAAGTACGAAAAAAACGAAAAGACTTATGCATCAATCTAATATTTTCTGATATTCCAACCAACCGAATTGAATCGCATTCCTTGTTTCGCCACGACGATGCGCAAAGGATTCGAGTCGCGATTTCAACCTGAATTTTTCAAAGTTTATGAACAGAAAGAAGATCAGGCAAGTAGTCGGTATATATTTTATTATATTTGCAATTAAAACTAGTTCTTTCAAGAAATTCCCTAACAAGGGAATGGTCAGAAGTGGATTTCGGCACCGAAATGAGATGCAAAAAGCTATTGAATGCTTTCAGACAAGTACGATGGTGCTTTCAACGTTTGCTGGATCACTAGTTTAACGGAACGGCTAGAAACGGCTTCAAGAAAAACGGCTTTGAAATTTCTTTTACCACTACTAAACAATAGTTTGGAAAAAAAAGCAAAAAATTAGGGTGGGCCGGGACCGAACCAGGGTCTCAAGAATGGGTGGCGAGGACTCTACCATTTAACCAAGAAGACAGGTTTCATTCGTCCGAAAGAACTCCTTTTATAGGTTTTTGCATTCATTTTGATGCTGAAATCTCACGATCACTTCTGACCATTCCCATGCAAGTTAACAAGCGTACTGGTGTCAATATATGAGCGCTTGTTTAAGAGTAAACTTCGACTACGCGACACTCCTATAGGACGCCGTTCTATTAGAGTTTTTATGGTAGCTTTATTTTTTTAAGAATATCAAGGTCGAAAGGAGAATTAATTAAATAAATTATTAATTAATATTAATAAATCTAATCTAAGCGATTACTAAATCTAATTTTTTGAATCGTTTGTTTGAAAAAGGTTGGCAAAATCTAAAATAAAAAAAAAAATCACTTACATCCTCCAATGTATTCAACGCTTCTTCACAATATCTCATCCATTGTTGATTGTCGAGAACGGGGATTGCCGTGTGATCGAAACCGCCCATCGGGATGTGTGAGAAGAATTTCGAGGAAAGTTGACGCTAAATGAGCAATATAATACGAATGAAGACGAATAAAATCGACTTGTAAGCGGTGTGTGAAGTAATGATACAAGATTATATTAATATATATGTCGTAGCCGATTATGAATGAAATTTTTTGGTAAATCTTTCTAGTAGAGCAACCCTTTAATGTATGAGGACAATATTATATCATCCTGTAGCGAATTGAATTCTCCGTCGATTGGTACCAAATTTGTGAGTTTAGGTTAAAAATTACCGGCGCTACAACGTTTCATTCAAAATCGGCGGGACCCCCGTAGCCGATTATGAATGAGTGGGTCTAGGAGCGAATGAGTGGGTCTAGGAGCGAATGAGTGGGTCTAGGAGCGTCCAACCATCAAGTATTTGGTATCATTCAACGCAGAATCATTAATAATTATGTTAAATTTTTTAAATTAGAAAGATTGGATGAAAAGAAAAAAAATGAAAAATGAAAAAAAACTGTTTGTTCAAGAGGAAACTTTGAGGTCCCATTATTTTTTTTCTTTTTATCCAATCTTTCTAATTTTAAAAATTTAACATAATTATTAATGATTCTACGTTGAATGATACCAAATACTTGATGGTTGGACGCGCTCATCCGGACCCGCTCATTCATAATCGGCTACGACATATAGATTTCCCAGAGTCCTTAAGAAGCGGTGGCGGAGTGGCGGAGTGGTAGTCGGCTAGAATACGCTTTAAGCCGAGTTTTATTTCTATTTTGCTTCAATTTGATCAGAAACGTAATCAATAGGTGAAATTATGCCAGAAGAAGTGTTTTTGGTTTCAAAAAACGCTTTGAGAGACGATTTTTTAGACCTCTTCCCTATGTGTACCCCTTTCATCATACTGCATTAGCGCGCACTGTATCATACTGTATTTGGAGCCCCGAAACTCGACTTAAAACGCATTTTCCCAAGCTCTCGTTGTATTTTTTGGAATCTACGCATAAAACTACCCCAGACAAAGTGGTTTTGAAGAAAAAAAAGTGCCCCTTCCAACCGGCGTATTACCTTAACATAGCTCAGTGCTTAGAGCATCTGACCGGAAAGCAAATTTTCAGCAAAAAGATCGATGGTTCAATCCCCTCTCTGGAAATCTTTCTTTGCTATTCCTTAGTTTACGTTATTTTAAAGCATCTTACGTCTGTCTTCATTTCAAAATATTCCTATTGATGATCGATATAAAAAGCTCAAAAATCTTCAATCAATTTTCTTTTAGAATTTGGCCAAATCCGACTGCTCCACTTAAAGCGCAATACGATATCTCAAATCTGCTCAACACCATTCTTCAAGCGGTTCCCGAGAAAGCGAAGGTTTGTTTTTAAACAAAATTAGAGCAAAAAAAAACTGTTTGTTCAAGAGGAAACTTTGAGACCCCATTATTTTTTTTCTGTTTATCAAATCTTTCTAATTTTAAAAATTTAACATAATTATTAATGATTCTGCGTTGAATGATACCAAATACTTGATGGTTGGACGCTCCTAGACCCACTCATTCATAATCGGCTAGGACATATACTTTATTTCAGTAATAAAGCGTAAAAAAAAGGTCCAAATTATAGGAAAAATCTTAATAAAACCTTTGTTGAAAAATAAGAGTTTCAAAAAAAGGAATGTGGTGCTTTGAAAAGGAAACTCAGTTTTTGGATGCTTTGTGTCTTACTTGAAGTACTTGTCTTACTTACTATGCTATTTTTCAGCGTTCTTTCGGATTCCCCGTGCCAAACTGGCTAAGAGCTTTGTATTCTAGTTGGTAGGTCGAGGGTTTAATCCCGCCGACTAGATTATTAGTTCTTTTTCCTTGATTCTTGGCATAATTTTGCTAATTTCTGAAATCTGCTTCTTAAAGCTAGGACTTTATATTTCTAGTTCATTTTTTTAAGTAAAAAATTGTTTCAAAATAAATCATGACTTTCCTTTAGGTGTTTTGTGTGTTACTTGAAGTTCTACTATGCTATTTTTCAGCGTTCTTTCGGATTTTGGCTTTCGGAAGACTGGCTAAGAGCTTCAGATAAAATTTCGACCGCCAAATGAAATGATTGATAAATCTTTTTTTTGTGATACCTGTTTGTTGAGAGAGGCAAGCAATTTGTCGACATTGGGATTCTTGTCGGCGCGGATTTTATCGATTTCCTCATTTAATCTAAAGGTTCAATACTTTTGAAGGGATTCTTGACGCTTGAAAACTTTTCGAAATGATTTTCAATTTTCGACTTTTCACTCACTCAGTGATCTCTTTGATGATTTCTCGTGCTTTTATCACATCTTCTTTGCTTATTTCACCCAACGGGCTGTCGATTTGCACGTTTCCGATTCGAACCTGAACCAGGAGTTAACTGTTGAGCCAATTTGAGTTAACTGATGAGAAATTTGAGTCAACGCATAGTTTCCATATCAAAATTAGGTATTAATTGTTAAGAAATATACTAAAGTTCATCATTTTACTACTAAATTTGAATTTCAATAGCTAAACTGCGTTTGAGATGTGAGCTTTCCCGAGCACAACACACAAAAAAAACTTTGCCTCTTATAATAAGTCAAATTACGATCTAAAACTATTTACTATTTATTATCTAACTAATTTAACATTATCAACCAAAAAAAAGCTGGTTTTTAGCTAATAAAGCTAATGAAGCTAATAAAGCTAATGAAGCTAATGAAGCTAGTGAAGCTAATGAAGCTAATGAAGCTAGTGACGCTAATGAAGCTAGTGACGCTAATGAAGCTAATGTAGCTAATGAAGCTAATGAAGCTAATGTAGCTAATGAAGCTAATGAAGCTAATGAAGCTAATGAAAGCGTCAGAAAAATAAACTAGTTTCAAGTTTGAGTGTTATAAAGTAAGATTTGCGGTTTTAGTTGAAGAGTTTGAAAATTCGTCACTTTTGTTAACTCTTAGCAATATTGAACAAAAATCTACATCTATAGAGCTTTTAATAAAAAGATTTTCTAACCTGTTTCAAATTTTTCCCGAGACTCTTCACGTTCCCGATATCCTTGATGAATTTGTAGATCTAAAAGTTTCAAAATCTTCAAATTAGAGGTACATTGATGGATTTCATTTACGTTCACCCAATTTCCAATCTCACCTGATCCTCCGTGTCCTCCGTGTTCAACTCGATCGGCAAACGATGCAAGCGCACTTTCACCGAGTTGTTGTTGATCTGGAACAAAAAGGAACCCTTCAAGGAACGAAAAGAGGATGGAAAAGCTCACAAAAGCGACTTACAAAGTTTCCAAATTTCAAATAAATCTTGAACAACAATCTTGCTTTGCTAGATCTACAAGCCCTCATCCAAATCACCTTAATCAGTCGATATTTCTTCTCGATTTCTTGGAATTTGTCGAATGGTCCCCAGTCCTGACCGCACTTCTGACGGAATACCGATTTGAACTCTTTGATCGCCTGGAATTTAGATTTTTGGCTATTCTAATGGTTATTATTATATGCTAATGATTAAAAAAAATGATTTTTAGTAATGAATCTTTCGTCTGGTCTTTTAGTTAAACAAATTAATTCGTTTTTTGAATTTGCCTTTAAAATTTACCGATTTAAAATCAAGAATTAAGCATTACAAAGCGACTATTAACCAGAATTAAGCAGACGAAATCAGACCGATTAATGGATTTGTAGGATTGAATATCTTAAATTTTCTCTTGTGGGCTAATAATTTACTATGAAAAAAGTGTGCGAATATTTATTTTTATTCGTTGATACTAATGAAAGTTATAAAGCAACTGTCGGAGTAAATTTCCGCTTAAAACCATTCAAAAAAAAATGGGTACTTTCCCATTATACCCCCACAACACCAATCCCATTATACCCCCAGAAATGGCAGGTTTTAATTTCGTAAGAATCAACTATACAGGTCACTTTTATTAACTCTTAGATATACTCTATAGAACTTAAATTATAACTTATAAATTAGTTATATTAACTAATTATCTAATCGTAGACGATTGAGGCTTTATGGAGTGATTTGACGGGCGACAAACAAAGATGGGACAAAACGTTTGTTTCTTAATTTGATTTTACCAAGTTTGAAACTTGATAAGCCCTTGAATTTCTTGGTCGCAAACTTTGCAACCATTTTCACATTGGCACTGTTATCGAAGGGTGATAAGTGGAATCATCAATCACTACTCATTCCAGTCAAGCTTTAACTTTAACAAAGTTGAAACCTGATTTTTGCCATCTCATCTTTACCTTTGCTTGCTCGCTGAAAGGAGTCGTTTGGTGCTCTCCGCGCGCGTCTCCGATTCGACCCCAATGCGTGAACAAGATGTACAATTCGGCATCCTAAAAAAGAACTTGATGATCAATACCTTAATTTTTAGTCACTCTAGTTTATTCCATTTCAACACTGACCTTTCTCTTCAGTAATTCCATTCGATAATAATTGTGGAAGCCGTAGGTGCCGTATTGAAGATCGGTTTTGTTGAGGAGAATCTAAAAGCGATTTTTTCTTTTTCAAAAATTTGAGCAATGTTATCTTTTATTTGCTATCATTGTTAGATTTAAATTTTTTCAAATAGAGATAAACTTTTTGAAGTAATAAGTTTGAAATTTGAGATATAATAGCTGTGGAAAGGATTGTTTACATTTAACTTTCAAAAGATCACCTTTAACTTAAGATTTTCCTTTTTTTTTGAAAATAAATGACAATGAGCCATTGAATGACTCTTTTCTACAAAGTTTCGAGGTATGTTGAAACTTTTATTTGTGCTCATCAAACGATTGGCATCAAACAAGAAAATTGTCAGCTCCGAGCCAAACTGATATTTTAGTTACTATTGTTATTATTGAATGATTTGTCTATTCTTATGCAAATGTGTTCTCCCCTGTGCTTATCCCTTTTATTGCCGAGAAGGGGCGGTCCTTGGGATTGCCTAGGAGGACAAATGAGACTCTCATTTGGAGTCCCCCTTCCCCTTACACTCATTTGTAATCTATTCGTCTTATTGTACTACTGTAAATAAAGATACATATCTTCCGGGTCTATTTGAATTGAATCTTGGTTGAAGAGCATGAAAATTGTTCAACTGCTTAAAAAATTTGTTTAGGTTTCACTTTTTGGCATATTGAAATTGAATATTGAAACAAATAAAACTACAGGATGTTCAAAAGCCAATTCCCCTTAATTTTTTCAAAAAATTACTGGTGGCTCCTGATGGTCGTTATGGTGCCAAAGTGAATATTCTGGGCGGGCAAATTTTTGATATTTTGTCACTTTTTCTCGATTTCATGACATGAAATTCCAATTACATGAAATTTCTGAGCAACCATGGTCACCACCATATACCATGAGACTTTTGCCGTAAAATCAAAACTTTGTACTGAAATTGTGATGTATTATACTGAGTGTTTATTATGCACCACAATGTCAGTAGAAAGTTTTAATTTTATAGCAAAAATTTCATGCATAGGAAGTCATGAAATCGAGAAAAAGTGAAAAAATCTAAAATTTTTCAGCCCAAAATATTCACTTTGACACCACAACGACCATCAAGAGCCACCAGAAATTTTTGGAAATTAAGGGGAACTGGCTTTTTTTGAACACCCTGTATATAAAAAGACATAAAGGTTAAACACAATTTTATGGCACTGCGGCCGTTCTCACCCCTATTTACCCCTATTACCCAAATGTTGTGAAAGAAAAAACCCACTTGGTGGGAAAAAGAAACATTTTTATCTTGCCAGAGTGATTGAACCCTCGACCTTCCGCTTAAGAGACAAGACTCCTAACCGGTCGGCCATCTGGCCCCAAATATATCAAAATCTGGCATCTGGTATATCAAAAAAAAAAGCTATATTGAAGTTGAAATTGAACTACTATATTAAAACAAAGCTATGTTGAAGTTGAAATTGAACTACTATATTAAAACAAAGCTCTAATTCCTTATCTTTTTTTGTTCCTTTATTTATTGTTCAACTAAAATAGCTACTTGCTCTTCAGATACTATAGGATATAATAGCTTTAAAGTTCTACCTTAAACAATTGCCCAGTCTCATCATCTCTCACGATTTCTCCAGTTTTCTCGTATCCCGATTTCGAGTGTGGCGTGCGATCCTCAGGTTTTTGTGCATCTTTCTAAACTTTTCGATTTGTTTTAAGCAATCGATTTTTAGTAGAAATTTTCAGTAAACATATTCTAAACATATTCTAAACTCAAAACTCGTACCTCTTTCTGTGCTTTTACGTATTTCTCAATGAATTGCTTGGCATCTGCATCGAAATCGTATTTTGAGACAAGCGCGGTGACATTTTGAGCTGGGATCTGTAAATTTAATCAACCTCAACATGTTTTTGATGCTAATTCCCGTAAAATTTAAAACAGAGCAATGTTATTATGATCTTTCGATCATTTGCCTTAAAGCTGGCTTTTATTTTCACACCAGTGCTCAACAGATCAACGTTCTTATGATCTTTCGATTTTTAAAACCATCAACCAACCTAAGTTTAACAGAGTTTTCTATGTAAAACAAAGGACAAACAAATAGATTAGCTTTCTCTTTATCTTCTAAAATAGTTTCAAAAATAATTCAAACCTTTTCCATCTCATTAGCTCCACCAGCCGTGAGTTTCGCCATCGCTTTGTACATCTTTCTTTGCATAAGCTTTGCGGCCAGCTTTTTCGGTGTCACTCCATCGTTGTCCGCTTGGTTCAGCAAATCTTTCGCCACACGACGATCCACGTCGAAGAGGGCCTAAATTTTGGTTGAATACTTTGAAAATGAATGGTAAAAGAGATTTTGACCTTTCCTATTGAAGGTTTGTTAGCAGCTTTTCCTAGAATACAACTCTTTGATTTTTAAAAACGAAATGTATGTAGGAATGGAAGTTTTACTCAAAAATTTTGACAATTACTAACTTAAAGAGCTACTTTTTATGTTAAAAAAACATTTTTCAAAGTCAAAGTCACCTCCAAAAGATCGGTGTTCTCCCAGCCGGTTGGCGCGACCAAAAAGTGGAAAACGTTGCGGCCGTTCTCGTCGACGAAATCGAGTTTGATCTGGAAAATCTTAAGTTCTTAGATCAAAAAATTTAAAACTTCAACGCTATCCAAAACGATTACGGATTAATGATACAGAAATTTTCCAAAACTCACATTTTTCTTGAGTCGCAGCGTGAGCTTGGGCGCTTTCTTTGGTTCGTTTTGGTCTTCCTAAATTAATTTTTTTAAAAAAATGATCAAAATTTTGATTTAAGATTTTTAATCAAAGTTTATGTGCTCAAAAATGGCTTTATTCAAAGCAGGAGACATTTGAACATAAAATTTAAGTTTCAATTTAATGATAACTCTAAAGTGCTGTTGTTAGATTCTTTCCAATGTGCTGTTGTTAGATTCTTTCAGTTGGATTTTGGAAAAATACAATCATTTTTCGGTTTTTGACTACCTCTTCCTCTTGCTCTGATTCCTCATTTGAAGTGGCTGATTGATTGTCCTCTTCTTCTTCATCACTCTCCGAACCACTTCCTAAAAACAAAATGGCTTTCGAAATCCTTTTTAAGTTTCATGTTTCAAATTTGACTCACTTCCAATCAAGGAACTAAAGTCTATTTCCAAGATAATTACGCAATTATTTCATTTTTGAACAATGAACTTTCAAAAATAGGAGATTCTTGAAGAAAAATGCGACCTTTTGCAACTAAATGCTACCTTTTTCGTGTTTTAAAAAACTTCTATAAAGCTAATATTCACTAATTTCTATTCCAAAAGTTGTTTCAGATAATTTTAGGGCGTAGAATCAAAATTTTGACAATTTTGACAATTTTGACATATTAGCCGCTTGTGGAATCAATTTGAAAGGAAGAGCAGGTCAAATTACAGAAAATTATCGTTTTTTCCTATGTATAACTCCGTTCGTCTGCTTCCACTGGCTTTGATATGTCAAAATTTGGATCCTACACCCTAAAATTACCTAGAAAAACAACTTTTCGAATAGAAATTGATTAGTAGTAGCTTTTTAGAGCTTTTTTTAAAGAAAAAGGCAACTTTTTAAGAGAAAAGAGCCATCCAGTAAGAAACAGAACTTTTGCTCGAAAAAAGCTTTAATTTCGGGCCGGGCAAACTTTAAAAAATTATACGTTTTGCCCTCTCCTCCTGGCTACGAGTCTGGCAAGACAATAGTTCAAGTTTAGCTTCTGCATTAGTGAAATACATAAATTTCTTTACCCGAATCATTCCTCCGCTTCTTTTTGCTGTTTCCATTTTGTTGACCGATCGAGATTGGCGGGCGTTTCCGATTGTGCGCAAAAGTGCCCATGAAAGTTGCCCGCATCTGCGTGATGCGCTTCTTTTGCTGAAAAAAAAGTTGAAAAAGAGTTAAGCAAATTTCTAAAAGCACACGGGGTTTAGAAGCATTTTGGGGTGATTTTGTATTCTTTTAAGCAGTTTTTTTATTGCAAATCTCTTCAACTAATGAGAACTTAATAATAAAATAATCTCGGAAAGCTTTTAGTTTATTAATTTGAAGTTTATTTATTATAGATTGATTTATATATAGATACTTTATTCAGGACCTGAGATAAAGTGCGCTAGATTTAAGATTAAAACACATGAATTGATACACATAACACGAAAAGGGCCGATAAAAAGAAACACGATATAATATATGTAAAATGTGGGTAGCACAGATAACGTCAAGGATCCAGTAGAGCTTCAAGATCAAGATCATCTACAGATAATTTAAAGGTTTCGAGACTATTGGACTCTCTCAAAACTCTGGGGAGTCGATTCCAAATTCTGGCATTCTGGCATTCTTATTGGAAAAGAGTTATAAACAAACTTATTGGAGGTGACTGGAATTTCTAAAACGAAAGAACCTCTCCTTGAACTAACCGTGGGATTAACTTTGAATAAATCTCGAAAAAGAGGGATAGGTTGCTTGCCCTTTACAATTTTGAAACATTCTATTAAATCCGTGACCAAGCGGCGGTGTCTAAGAGATTTAAGATCAAAAATTTTGAGTCTATCTGTGTAACTAAAGTATGCAAATTTGGAAAAATCTATTTAAAGTATTTTTTTTTATTATAGATTGATTGATTTTGCTATAAATTAAGCTATTTTTGTAAAACTAAAGCTTAAAAGTATTATTAGTTCAAGAAAATTGGAAATGTTTGCCATTTTTATTAGATTAGTTGAGCCGATTGTCTTGAAACATAAAATTAGTCTAATTTTTATCAACCTTGAGTACTTTTTGTACTTTTTGTGATCATTTGAGTACTTTTGTTTGACTTTTAGTGAAAAAAGCATACTTTTTGAAGCTAGACTATTATTAGAATGCTTAATAAGATATTGTGATTAGAAAATCTGTGTTTGAAATATGAAATTGCCCAAAAAACCAGTGAAAACCCGCATAAAAATGGACATCGACAAGGAAAATTTGTTGATTCAACTCTACGATTAGCTTTTTTTAAATCACAAACCACAAAACGTCTGCCAATTAGTCCATTTTGATTGAGCTTAAGATTTTAGGTTTAACAAAAGTCACTTTCAAAGGATTAGAACTAAAGTCTAAAGTAAAACTTGAATTTAGTCGATTCTTTGTCTGTCAAAAATGTTTTTACTTTTTGACTTGATCGTCAGGTTGTACTTTATGCTCAAAAAGTGCAAACGCATCCTTTCTCATCACTCAATTCTTTACTTTTAATGGTGTGAAGAATGTTGTTAATGAAGAACTTGAAAAGAAAAGATGCGTTTCTATTTGATACAACTACTATTGAACCCAATATTGTAAAATCCCCACCTGACTTGTGACCGGCAACTCCTCTTTCACTCCCTCGCAAACAGCTTTCACGACGCTTCTCTGATTTGTGTTCACCGCCAACATCAAAGCATTTGACGGAAGCGGGCATTTAAGGTTTTGAAGGAAGACGATCAACTCCGGGTTTTGAGCCTAAATGATAAATGTTAGATATGGGAAAATTCCAAACCGAACCTAATTTTACCTTCGTTTTCTCAGCTGCTTCTTTGCCGATTGTTCTGAAATTTTGTCTACAGCTAGAAATAGATAACTTCAGCTTGTAAATAAAATTTCAGAACAGTTGACCAAGAAATAGCTGAGAAAATGAAGGCGAAATTAGGTTCGGGTTGGAGTTTTCTTGTCTAGTATGTACGAGTATACGAGCTAAATGCTAATGCTATTAGGCTTAGAAAGTCTTTTCGTTCCTTTTCGTTGAAAAATAACAAATTCACCAATTAATCTATGATTTTCTCTAAATAAAAGTGTTTATTGTTGGTTTGAAACGAAAGTCTGAAAAGAAACGAAAAATTTTTCTGAACTGCCTAATAACTAAGCAATAGCTCTTCAATATGAACTAAATTGAAACATGAGCTTTCCAAAAGCTCTCTTTTTTTCACAGTTTGATTTGAGGCTTAGTATTTGGCTTTGAAATATTCTACTTTAATAAACTTAAACATTATTCACTTTTTGGCAGCTAGATTAAGTATTATCACTTTTAAAAAACTAGAAAACTAGAAAACTAGAAAACTAATCAATTGACATGCATTCTGTTGTTTCTGGACAGCCTATTAGATTCCAGTTGCTTCATTTGCTAAACTAAACAATAATAACAACAATAATAAACAATAATAAACTAAACAATAATATTTTCTTACAAATTTTCTTTCTTGTACCTTTTAACTGACATTCAATTACTCAATATGTTTGAAATCTTGAGCAGATATTTTTGAATGATTAGTTGAAGGTCTTGAGCTAAGAGAGTCGTCTATTTTGAGTCGTCTATTTTGAGTCGTCTATTTTGAGTCGCCTATTTTGAGTCGTCTATTTTGAGTCGTCTATTTTGAGTCGTCTATTTTGAGTCGTCTATTTTGAGTCGTCTATTTTGAGTCGTCTATTTTGAGTCGTCTATTTTGAGTCGTCTATTTTGAGTCGTCTATTTTGAGTCGCCTATTTTGAGTCGTCTATTTTGAGTCGTCTATTTTGAGTCGTCTATTTTGAAACTCAATCATCTCTAAGAAATTTTTCAAAACTTGTGCTTTCATTTCACTTTTCTCATTCGTTCTCAATTTTCTCACCTCAATCGCTCGAATCATTGCGGTCGACTTATGGATTTCTGGTGGATTTAAGCTATATGGATAACCATCAAGAGCGATTTTCGGGTAATCGACCATCTGATTGAAGACCTCGTCTGATGCAAGAGCTTCTGAAAAATAAAAAAATCGACATAAAAAGATCAGCAGATTTGACTTTATAGCTAATTTATTTAGCTTTTTCTTATTATTTTGGATATTTTGGTTATTTTGGATATTTGAAATCCACTAAAATCTATCGTAAATACTGTAATAGTACCCCACCCCCTCGTATAGTCGCGTAGTCGCAAAAGTTTTAGTCGTTTTTTAGTATTTCATTTTTTTCAAAGCGCTTGTACTTCCAAAAAATGCCTCTTTGGTACTCTGAAAGCCGATGCTGAGTCTGGTTCCAACGCTTTCGGAATGGTGATGAAAGTCTCGAGGATGATGAACACTCTCGTCAAGAATATCGTTGTCTACCTGTCTACCTATCGTTGTCTACGGTAGACAACGATACTTTGAGGGCTGCTATCGAATCGGATCCATGTCATGTCATGTCAAACGACACGTGAACTTGCTCAACAGTTTCTATGTTCAAATTCTACTATTGATGAGCATCTCCACGCCATTGGAAAGACGATGCGGGAAATGGCTTCTTCACGAGTTAAGCAGTACAAACGCTCGTTTTGTATCCGAACAACCTACCGTAAATACTGTAACAGTACCGCCTCGTACAGTCGCGTAGTCGCAAAAATTTTTTAGTATTTCCTTTTTTTCAAAACGCCCGTACTTCCAAAAAATCGTGCTTTGGTATCAAAAAATAGCTGAAATTCAGGGCTATTTTTTGATACCTAAACGAGCATTGTAGCATAAACCAGTGTCGAGAAAAACTCATTCAAAGCTAGACTACACAACGCTTCGCACCGTCATTATGGGGGTGGGGTACTATTACAGTATTTACGGTAAGTTTTCCTTTGCTCTCTCTTTGTCAGCTTTGAAATTGCCGTTTCAAAAGCTTTGTTTCAAAGCAAAAAGTTTGAAATTTAATGGCTTCAAGTTAGAAATGATCGTTTCAATTCGCTTTTTACAAAGATGTACACAAAGCTAGATTTTCTTGCTTGCTATTCCGGATCTCTTTTTTTGCGATCCATTAAACTTAAATTAAACAAAAACTCACCAATTCCCGCTTTTACATCATCAGTAGCGCAGAAATTCGTCCAACATTCGATGAAACCTGACAAAATCTTCGCTTTTCCCAGCACTGTCACCCTCGGCCATTGGAGGATTCCAGTTTGGTGATTCTGAAATGGAATTGAGTTTCATTTTGAAAAATCTAACGGCACTTGAGGGTTTTGTTCGTTTAATTACGTTAAGTTCGTTAATTTAAGTAAGTTTAAATAGTTAAGGGAACTTGAAAGCTGACATTACAGGCTTGAAATTACACCGCTTAAAATTATACCGCTTCAAATTACAGGCTTGAAATTACAGGCTTGAAATTACACCGCTTCAAATTACACCGCTTCAAATTACACCGCTTCAAATTACACCGCTTCAAATTACACCGCTTCAAATTACAGGCTTGAAATTACACCGCTTCAAATTACACCGCTTCAAATTACACCGCTACAGCTTCAAGTTACAAGCACTTTTTCAATCGTTCAATAGTCACTTTTTGATTGTTTAACATGAAAAACGAAAAAACGAAATTTTAGCTTGAAAGTCATAGCAACTTGTTCGTAATTTAGTGGTTTTTATATTGTTTTATAAAATTTTATATGCCCAAAACGAACCTTCAGATAAACGATCAATTTCCAAAATCCTCTCTTCGAGGCCGCTTCAAGAATTTCACTTTCCCCATTCGCATCAATCCATTCAATTCCAAAGTCCAAAAGAATGGACAACACTTTTTCGGAGGATTCGTCAAGATTTGCTGAAATCGGGGAATTTAAGTTTCAAAGAAAAGAGTAACGGAAAGTAAACCTCATTTTTAGTTAGCCTATTAGTGACCAAGTTAGCCTATTAGTCAAATATGAGTTTCAAAGTTGCTAATTTCAATGCTTTTCTTTTTCGTTACTACTATCTTTGCCTGTTAATAGGCAAATCTTTAGCATTATTCTTGGAATTTTATCCTAGTTTTGATTTGGTTTTTAATAGGTTTAAGATAGCAGAATGAATAGAAACCTAACTCTTTATCTAGTCCATTATTTTCCCCTTTACCAAACTAGAGAAATGCTGGGGGAAATTTAGTTATTCTGTTTTGATTGGATAAATCTACATTTATCTAATCAATCTATCTAATCAATCTACAGTTATCTAATCAATCTACACTTATCTAAGAAATCTACATTTATCTAATCTACACTTATCTAATCAATCTACACTTATCTAATCAATCTACACTTATCCATTTATCTATTCACCCTTTCTGGGCAGTCTATTAGTACTCTTTTCATTTTTCATTTCATCATTTCATTTTTCATTTCATTTCATTTCCCACTTTTCATCCCATTGATGAACGTTTGCATCAATTTCATCGACGCCAAATCGATTGTGTTTCCCTTTCGTGTAAAAGCGGTGATTGACGATTGCAATAGTTTGAGGAGATATTGCGAGAAGTTGTTTTGTCCATTTCCTAGTGCAGCTTTCGCCAATTCGCCCACAGTCGTCGGACTCTAAAAGAGAAATACGCATTTTGAATTTTGAAATACGCAAAGTTTGACTCAAATCTTGGGAACTTTACTGTTCTTTTAATCAGGTAAGATCTAACTCTAGTTTTGGGGCAATTCAAATCCATCTTTACCAATCGCTGAACGCGGATCACTGGCGGATCCGAGTGCTGAAAAGTGTACAAAATTGTAGGAAAATGATTAAGTGAAAGGATTCTTTGTCGTTTAACTTGGCTAGTCAACTAATTTTATTTATTTGGTGATAAAAAGATGATTCTAGATGATTCTAGATGATTCTAGATGGTTCTAGATGGTTCTAGATGATTCTAGATGATTCTAGATGATTCTACATGATTCTAGATGATTCTAGATGATTCTAGATGATTCTAGATGGTTCTAGATGGTTCTAGATGATTCTAGTGCTACATGACTAGGCTAGTGACAGTGATTCTAGTGATTCTAGATGTCTAGGATTCTAAGATCTAGGTTCTAGATGATTCTAGATGATCTAGATGATTCTAGTGGTCTAGATGGTCTAGATGATCTAGTGATTCTAGATGATCTACATGCTAGTGTCTAGATGCTAGATGATTCTAGATGATCTAGATGGTTCTAGATGCTAGTGCTGTGTCTCTGTTCTAGTTCTTGATTCTAGATGATTCTAGATGATTCTAGTGATTCTAGATGATTCTAGATGGTTCTAGATGGTTCTAGATGATTCTTTTAAACAAAAAGCTCCAAAACTGAACCCCAACCTTTTCCAGAAGATCCAAAATGACGTAAACCATTGAGTGCCATTCATTTCGTACCACCATCTCGGGGACACTTTGAATGAGTCTCTCAGCTTCTGCTCGCGTTTCTGTTATCCATGTCCATTCATCATTTTCAGTTTTCTCTGGCTCTGGTCCGAAGATCTAGATTTTTAATGAAACTTTAATGACCTAGGTCCATTACTTTAACCCCAACATAACTTATTCTTTTCAATTTGAAACTCAACCTTTTCAATTCTTGACAAAATGATTTTAAACCTTTCCTTGCTTAGAAATCTTATTCACTTTAGAGCAAATAGCTCTAGTAATTGATTGCGAAATTGATCTAGAGTAAATAATGCTTTTGATCAACCTTTTTATGGATGTCTGCATGTGCCTGGATGAGTGTGAGCGTTGTTTGTGGCCATTGCTTGTAGACAGCTAAGCCGAGTGCCGTGTTTCCACCTTTATTCGTCGCGTCGAGCTGAATTCAAAGCAAAATTTATAAGCATTTATATCTTTAAACTCATATCAATTATAATTCAATTTTATCATTCTATTTTATAATTCTATTTTCCAAGCCCTTTACCGAACATCCATGATGCAGCAGGGTAACCGCGCAAATATTTGCGTCTCTCATCGCTGCCATGTGCAACGCCGTGTTCCCGTCCTCGTCAGCGACACAAATCTGGAGAAAAATAGTTGTAATTCGAGCGATAGCTGTAATCGACTTAATGCGATGCGCAAGCCGCTAGCCTTCGCGCTAAGTCCAAGCCTAAGCCTGAGCCTAAGCCTAAGCCTGAGCCTAAGCCTAAGCCTAAGCCTGAGCCTGAGCCTGAGCCTGAGCCTAAGCCTAAGCCTAAGCCTAAGCCTGAGCCTAAGCCTTAGCGCTAAGCCCAAGCCTAAGCCTAAGCCTAAGCGCCAAGCCTATGCCTAAGCCTGAGCCTAAGCCTAAGCCTAAGCCTAAGCCTGAGCCTGAGCCTAAGCCTGAGCCTTCGCGCCAAGCCTAGGCCTAAGCCTGAGCCTAAGCCTGAGCCTAAGCCTAAGCCTAAGCCTAAGCCAAAGCCTAAGCCTAAAGCTAACAAGGTTTTATTTATAACTAAAGCTAAATTTCTACATGATCACACGAATAAATTGAAATATAAAACCTAGCAGCTTGCTTTTAAAATCTTTTTTTCTTCAAACAACCACATTGCGGTCCAAAAAAGAACAATTTTAAATAAACTCTTTGAAATTAACAACAATTTTAAAACTTTTAAAGAAAATTTAGGAAAAAAAGCCAATTTTAGGAAAGATAGATATTTTAAAATCCACTTTTTAACTCCATAATTTGAAACATTGATCTTTCAGGTAAGCCTATTGACCAAAAACTACTGAAAAAAAGCTAATAAAAATGTAAATTAGTCTCGAAAATTGTTAAAATTTTGTAAACTCACCGCTTTCGAATCCATCATTCGCAAAAGAAGGGAAACGACGGCGATAGGATCGCATTTTTGTGGGCTTTCATCTGTGGCTTTTGTGAAAGCGTAGTGAAGAGCGGTTCGACCTGGAAAAATCTTGGAATGTTAAATTCAGACAAGTTTAAAACATTGTACCAGTTTTAGAATTTAGTTTTAGAATTTAGTTTTAGCCAATCGATTCAACAATCGATTGGCTAGCTAATGCTTTGACTTTGAGCTGGATTGACTAGCTAATGGCTAGTTAACGTTAACAATGGATTGGGTAGCTAATGGATAGCTAACGTTAACAATGGATTGGCTAGCTAATGGCTAGCTAACGTTAACAATGAATTGGATAGCTAATGGCTAGCTAGCGGCCAACTAACACTAACAATGGATTGGCTAGCTAACGGCCAACTAACGCTAACAATGGATTGGCTAGCTAACGGCTAGCTAACGTTAACAATGAATTGGTTAGTTAATGGCTAGCTAGCGGCCAACTAACACTAACAATGGATTGGCTAGCTAACACTTTGAGTTCTAATGTTTCAAAAAAGTGCCTTGTAAATGTTTTTAGAAGATTAGTTTTGGAAAATAAGGTTCTTTTCGTTTTGTTTTGTTGATGAGTAAGAAAGATTTAAGTTTTGATTGAAAAAAGAATCCAAATTAAACATGTTTACCTTCGGAGATAAGAAATAAGAATGTCTGTCAAGTACAAATGATCAAAAATTATCAAAGATATGTCTAGAGATCAGAAAACAGATAAACTTGAGCATTGATCAAAGCAAGTTTATCTGTTTTCAAATTGATCAAAGCAATCTTTCCACAAACCTTTCTCATCTCTCGCATTCACGTCGCACATCTCGGCGACGAACTCGATCGGCTCAATGAACGCATCAGCTGAGTAGGTTCTCTCTGCGTCGACAGCCACGTGAAGTGGTGACATTCCACCGAGGCCAGACTGAAAATTTCCTTGTCTTATGTTTATATTTGATAAGCTACGTTCACGTTAATATTTCTAGTAATTAAGGTAGTTCAATTGATGCTGTTATTAAACTGTTGGATTAGAAAGCAGATTAGAAAGCATAAAAAAGAATCACTGTATTAGAAATGCTGTATTAGAATGACACCCTCCTGACCCTTCGAAATCTTGACTTTAGACGACCTTGTGGGGGTTCTATGAATAGATCTAGGCCTAAAACCTACAACCGGATTGCTGTTGAATTCAATTTAAAGATAGTTTAATTGATGTTGGTTTTAAAAGGAAATAAGAAAAGAAAAGAAAAACGAAAAGAAACGAAAACAACTTTCTGAACAGCCTAACACAAATTATTTTCAGATTTTCCGTTCTAAATAATCCCAAATCAAGTTTGTCTACCGTTTTTAAATCCAAAACGAAAAGAATTTAGTTTTAATTTACACTACTGGACAATGAAATATCATTTGAAAAAAGACCATCACTTTCGAAATGAAATAAAGTGCGCTAGATTTAAGTTTAATACACACTGAATTCATATTCATTTACTTTATTAATCATTTATTAGTTAATCCCACGGTTAGTGCAAGGAGATGTTCTTTCGTGGCATGTATTAGGTTGATGCATAAGTGTTTTTGTTCCTTTTCGTCTGCCGTTTCAAGCCAACAAATGCACCAATTAAACTACGGTTGATTTCATTAGAAAAAGCAATTATTTTTCTGCAAAATAACATTAAAACGGGTTTAAAAATATTTGATGCCTGGATTTTCTTGAGAGTATGAAGTCGGGTAGTCAAAAAGGGCTAACTCGATGATGCGGTTTAGACACCTTAGCTAAAGAAAACCTATCTTCGTGTCAATAGATAAAAGATAGAGAAAAAAAACGTTTGATATTTCGCCAAAATTTCAGAGAAATTCATTCAGCCAATTTTTCCGTAGAGTTTTTTATAGATTTTTACGAAAAAGGCGTTTTTCACTCTCGAATTTGCTTGAAAGTGAACCGAAATTCATTTAAAAAGATGCAAATTCAACACAAAAAACACTTTTTTTTATAGAGCAAACTATAGATTAATTGGTGAATTTGTTACTTTTTAACAGAAGTACGAAAAAAACGAAAAGACTTATGCATCAACCTATTACTTAGAAGATCTACTTAGAAGGTGCACCGGTAATTTTGCCCAACCCTGTACATTCAAGAATCACTTAGCATTCAGAAATAAGTTTCCTGTCTTCGGAAATGCTTCACTGAGTTTTTGAATCAATGAAGGGGGGGGGGTTGTTATTTAGATATAGATACACTACTGGACAATGAAATATCATATTTGAAAAAACGATCGTCACTTTCGCGCGTCTGTAACTCCCTTTTCTTTACCGTATTTCTAAATATTAATATTACCATTGTGTAGCCCTTGAAAAGAGCTTTCAGAAAATGTATAACACTAATAGTTTAAACTCAAAGACAAGGGAGTTACAGACGCGCGAAAGTGACGATCTTTTTCAAATATGATATTTCATTGTCCAGTAGTGTAGTTTGAGTCAAGAAAATCGAGTTTAAAGTTAATCGCTAGCCTTCGCGCTAAGTCCAAGCCTAAGCCTAAGCCTGAGCCTGAGCCTGAGCCTGAGCCTGAGCCTGAGCCTGAGCCTGAGCCTGAGCCTAAGCCTAAGTCCAAGCCTAAGCCATTTTGAGATTGAATTTTGTTCTAATCACGAAATTCTTCACAATTTGACCCAACCTCATTTGGCTTTCTTAGCTTTTTAAGTAAAGCAATCGTTTTTGTGTTCAAGCTTCGACAAGCATAGTGATAGGCTGAGTTTCCGCGCGGTTGATGCTCGGCCAATACGAGTGACGTGTCTAAAAGTTGAATTTCGAGAATTACCTCATTATTTTGTGATTCATAAAGAAATTTTTGAGCTATTTAACACGATTTCTTCGTAATCCGCTTATCCATTTCCGCTTATCCATTTCCGCTTATCCATTTTCGCTTATCCATTTTCGCTTATCCATTTCCGCTTATCCATTTCCGCTCACCTTTATCCGTTCTCTGCCACTCCTCGTCACTCAACTCCAAATCGTCCAACGCTTTAATCATTTCTTTCTCAACTAACATGTGAACCACCGATTTTGATAAGGAGACTCCTAAAAATAAAATGTTGAATTTTTTTTTATTTCAGATCACTTTCAGTATGTTTAGTTGATTGTTTAGTCAAAAAACGCTCTTTGTCATTTGGAAAAAGCTATGTTTCAAAGTTACAAGTTAGAAAATGAATGCATGATAATTAGTTCCCAGTGCTCGTAAAAATCAATCCATCCAATCAATCAATCAGCTGCCAAAACGCGAATAATGGTTAAGTTTACTAAAGTGGAATGTTTTAAAGCCAAAAACTAAGCCCCGAGTCAAACTGTGAAAAGAGGGGATAGGCTAATTTCCGCCATTTTATTTACGCAACTGGGCCGTTTGCGCAACTCACCATAACTTTTTTCTAAGTCGATCAATCTTTATGATTTTGGTTTCATTTTGTAGATCTCAATAAGTGCAACAAAATGACATCAAAATGATAAAGATTGACCGATTTAGAAGAAAGTTATGGTGAGTTGCGCAAAAGGACCCAGTTTAAAATGATTTGATCGCGAATGATCCGTAAATAAAATGGCGGAAATTAGCTTAACCCCGAAACGAGAGCTTTTGCAAAAGTTTATGTTGCAAGTTAGGGGATATAAAAGAGCTATTGTCCAGTTTGTTTCTTGTTTTTTTTTGTATTTGATTTAGCTACAGTATTTTTTAGCTATTTTCTACAGTTTCTTAACGTTATATGTCTAGATAGGTTTATAGATGATTTATAGATTTATAGATAGATGAAATGACTCACTTTTCTTATCGATATCAATCCATTTCTGGATAAGTGCATTGTGCACACCGTCAGCACAACCATGCTCTTTGGAAACTTTGAGGATTTTGATCACCTGAAAATAGATCTCGTTTGCGGGCCAAGAAAAGCCAAAGAGCCTAAGCTTAGAGCCAAAGAGCTAAAGAGCCAAAGAGTCAAAGAGCTGAAGAGCCTGAGCCTAAGCTTAGAGCCAAGAGCCAAAGGGCCAAAGAGCCCAAGCTCAAGCTCAAGCTCAAGCTCAAGCGTAATTTGCAAACAAATTAAACAAAACAAATACATTTTAGCTGTATTTATGAAACTAAATTATCGTTAAATTGGTGTTTTGTCGAAAGCGAGTTTTCTTAGCTCAAAAATGACCCGATTTTGTCTTTCTTGGCTCAAAAATCACCCGATCTTGCCTATCTTGGCTCAAAACTGAGCCGATTTTGCCTATCTTGGCTCAAAAATGACCCGATCTTGTCTTTCTTGGCTCAAAAATGACCCGATCTTGCCTATCTTGGCTCAAAAATGACCCGATCTTGCCTATCTTGGCTCAAAAATGACCCGATCTTGCCTATCTTGGCTCAAAAATGAGCCGATTTTGCCTATCTTGTCTATCAATGAACCCTTTGATTCTTTAAATTTGTCTTTTTCTAAAGCAATTTTCTAATATCAGCAATTTTCTAAAATAAATCGTGCCTTTTCCTCGTCACAACTGCAAATGGCCGCTTGCAACGGTGTCTCCAACACTAAATTCCTCATCGACAACAGCTCAGCCAATCTTTTTTGAGTGGTCGCCTCTTTGAAAACCAAATCGAGCAATTTCTAAAGGAATTTCTTGTTCTAAACTTCAATTTTAGTAGCTGTTTATGATTGATTGCTGTGCATTTTCTAAAGCACAACTTTCTACCGTTTCTACGTCAACTTTCTACCGTTTCTACCACTATTTTTGCAGGATTTTTTAAAGTTGACTTCATCAAGCGATTCATTTCATCAAAACACTAAGAAAGTCACTCAGTTACCATAAAACTTTTTCATAAAATGTTCAAACCCCTTCTTTCGTGTCGGTCACCGCAGTATGGATGAGGCTAACTTGATTTTCCTTTAGCACGGGATCAGCCTAAAAAATCCACCTTTTGTTGATGAGCTAGCCTTCTTTAAAGAAAAGTTTTCTCTAGTTTCCTTTAGTTTTCTTTAATTTTCTTTAGTTTTCTCCAGTTTTCTTTAGTTTTCTTTAGTTTTCTTTACTTTTCTTTAGTTTTCTTTAGTTTTCTTTAGTTTTCTCCAGTTTTCTTTACTTTTCTTTAAAAACTAAGAATAGATTCGAATTCCTCATCCTCGAAAACCCCTAATTGCAAATTTTCAGCTAAATTGGCCTCAAGTAAATGGCCAAATTCGGTTAAATGGCCAGATCGGGCTAAATGGCCAAATCCAGCTAAATGGCCAAATCCAGCTAAATGGCCAAATCCGGCTAAATGACCAAATCCGGCTAAATGACCAAATCCGGCTAAATGGCCAAATCCGGCTAAATGGCCAAATCCGGCTAAATGGCCAAATCCGGCTAAATGGCCAAATCCGGCTAAATGGCCAAATCCGGCTAAATGGCCAAATCCGGCTAAATGGCCAAATCCGGCTAAATGGCCAAATCCGGCTAAATGGCCAAATCCGGCTAAATCCGGCTAACCTGTTGGCCGCTTCGTGTTAAAAGAAGACTCATTCAATTTGAAACAATGCTTTATTTCTTTTTTTTTTCATGAAATTCATGTTTTTGAAAGATTTTAAGCAATCCGTTTAGCTTAAAAAGTTTTCTTATAGCTTTTCTGATACTTATAGCTTTTCTGATACTTATAGTTTTTCAAAAACATTTAGAACTACTTGAAAAACTTTTTTGGGTACCTGATTGAGGGTCTCTGGCGCAAATTGAAGCACTTTCCTCAGCGCATTCAACAAAATCACACCTATCACGTTGCCCAGTTGTTTTTGATTAGGACAATTGTTGCTGAAAGAGATTTATTTGGGAAAATTATAAGCTTTTGATTAAATTTGTTTGAGAAAAAGCAATCGAGCATAGATTTTGCAAAAATTTGGAAATTTTATGAAACTATTAGGTTGTTCGGATATAAACGAGCGTTTGCACTGCTTAATTCGTGAGGAAGCCATTTCCCGCATCGTCTTTTCAATGATTGTCTTTCCAATGGCGTGGAGATGCTCATCAATAGTAGAAAATGATAGAATTTGAACATAGAAACTGTTGAGCAAGTTCACGCGTCGTTTGACATGGATCCGATTCGATAGCAGCCCTCAAAGTATCGTTGTCTACCGCTTGAGGTCGACAACGATATTCTTGTTCATCATCCTCGAGACTTTCATCACCATTTCGAAAGCGTTGGAACCAGACTCGGCATCGGCTTTCGGACAATACATCATTCCCAAATGCTTTGACCAAATCTCAATGGGATTCCGCGACTGTTTTGCCCCGTTTGAAGTCTTACGACTTAGTAGGCAAACGTAGTCTTACGAGTAGGCAAACGTAGTCTTACGAGTAGGCAAACGTAGTCTTACGAGTAGGCAAACGTAGTCTTACGAGTAGGCAAACGTAGTCTTACGAGTAGGCAAACGTAAAGTAGGCAGAAGCAAACTTTATATATTTGATCGATCATCTAAAGCAAGAAAAAAGATCTTAAAAATAAGAAATTATCCGTTTAAAAAGATTCCAAATATGCGCAAGATAACGTACTTTTAAATACAGAAAGACATGTTTTAAAAGCTTCTCTCACAACAATAGCAACAAGCTCGTTTAGCAACGCTTGTTTATATCCGAAAAACCCTAATAAATGACCCAAGAAAACCCTTTCCTTGTCTAGATTGAAACACTCACGTTGTCGCTTGGTTGGCAAACTTGATGTAGGTTCTGAAAAGGATTTTTTGATTTAAAAATGACTTGAAAATGACTTTAAAATGATTTAAAAATGACTTTAAAATCAATTTCAATTCTTGATTCAAATTTAAAACCAATTTGAATCAATTTAAAACAATTTGAATCAATTTGAATCAATTTAAAATCAATTTGAATCAATTTGAATCAATTTAAAACAAATTTGAATCAATTTGAATCAATTTAAAACAATTTGAATCAATTTGAATCAATTTGAAATCAATTGGAATCAATTGGAATCAATTTGAAACTATTTAAAACAATTTGAAACTATTTGAAACAATTTGAATCAATTTGAAACCATTTAAAATCAATTTAAAACTATTTGAAACTATTTAAAACATTTAATTTAAAACCCACAAAGCAATCAATGTCACCGGCGTTCCAGGAGCCTCTTTTTGCTTCTTATTCAACCATTCCTAAAATAATGCAAAATGAAATTCTTTTCTAACTTGATTTACTAATAGTATACTTTAAATATTATTCAATTTTTTTTGATTTGTTAAGCTTTTTTTTTTCAATGCACTTCTTGCTGAAATTACCTCTCTCAATTTGAAAATTTTTCAAGCGTTCTGCAAAAACTAAAAACGAATTCGAGATCCTGGTTGATTCTATAATTCTATGGACTTGGTCTCGAGTCAAAAGTCAAGCTGACGCAATGCACCTGAGCTGAGCGCACCTGGACATTTGCGCACCTTTTTTTTTGCTGGAAAAGGCCTTAGGAAAGGTCGTAGAGCTTCAAAAATGTTTCCATACTGGGGAATCGTATGCGTAGATTCCGAATTTCGACAAATCAAAGCAAATCAGACCTCGCTGACACGTCAAATTTGGGCTAAAAGGCAAAAACTACGCAACTTAACGCTTTTCCGCAGTTTTTGCCTTTTAGCCCAAATTTGACGTGTCAGCGAGGTCTGATTTGTCGAAATTCGGAATCTACGCATACGATTCCCTGACATGGAAACATTTTTGATGCTCTACGAACTTTCCTAAGGCCTTTTCCAGCAAAAAAAAGGTCGCATTTGTCCCACCCCCAACCAAGCTTGATTCGGTGGCTTTCCTATGTAATCAAATAATAAAATATGTTTCAAAATATTAATGAAACTTTCTTCAATGCTTATTTTGTTTAAAAACAAACCTTCGCTTTCTCGGGAACCGCTTGGAGAATGGTGTCGAGCAAATTTGAAATATCGTATTGCACTTTAAGTGGAGCAGTCGGATTTGGCCAAATTCTAAAAGAAAATTGATTGAAGAGAAGAAATTGATTGAAGAAAAGAAAATTGATTGAAGATTTTTAAGCTTTTTATATCGATCATCAATAGGAATATTTTGAAATGAAGGCAGGCGTAAGATGCTTTAAAATAACGTAAACTAAGGAATGGCAAAGAAAGATTTCCAGAGAGGGGTTTGAACCATCGATCTTTTTGCTGAAAATTTGCTTTCCGGTAAGATGCTCTAAGCACTGAGCTATGTTAAGGTAATACGCCGGTTGGAAGGGGCACTTTTTTTTCTTCAAAACCACTTTGTCTGGGGTAGTTTTATGCGTAGATTCCAAAAAATACAACGAGAGCTTGGGAAAATGCGTTTTAAGTCGAGTTTCGGGGCTCCAAATACAGTATGATACAGTGCGCGCCAATACACTATGATGAAAGGGGATACACATAGGGAAGAGGTCTAAAAAATCGTCTCTCAAAACGTTTTTTGAAACCAAAAACACTTTTTCTGGCATAATTTCACCTATTGATTACGTTTCTGATCAAAATTGAAGCAAAATAGAAATAAAACTCGGCTTAAAGCGTATTCTAGCCGACTACCACTCCGCCACTCCGCCACCGCTTCTTAAGGACTCTGGGAAATCTATATGTCGTAGCCGATTATGAATGAGCGGGTCCGGACGCGTCCAACCATCAAGTCTTTGGTATCATTCAACGCAGAATCATTAATAATTATGTTAAATTTTTAAAATTAGAAAGATTGGATAAAAAGAAAAAAAATTATGGGGCCTCAAAGTTTCCTCTTGAACAAACAGTTTTTTTGCTCAAATTTTTTTCTTTTTATCAAATCTTTCTAATTTTAAAAATTTAACATAATTATCAATGATTCTGCGTTGAATGATACCAAATACTTGATGGTTGGACGCTCCTAGACCCACTCATTCATAATCGGCTACGGGGGTCCCGCCGATTTTGAATGAAACGTTGTAGCGCCGGTAATTTTTAACCTAAACTCACAAATTTGGTACCAATCGACGCAGAATTTAATTCGCTACAGGATGATATAATATTGTCCTCATACATTAAAGGGTTGCTCTACTAGAAAGATTTACCAAAAAATTTCATTCATAATCGGCTACGACATATAGACACGAGGGAGGATTTTTGAAATCCCATACAAGACTTTACAGGCTTATAACTTTTGATAGAGTTGCATTTTGTAAAAACGGAAAGCAGACTCGGAATCAGCGCAAAATTCTACGTCGGTGAGTATATATGGCTCATGTCATATATACTCACCGACGCTACTATACTATATGCTCATGACATCACCCTTGTGACCTTCCCTATGACCATCCTTCCTTCCTTGTTAGCCAAAATTACCGTACTTTGTCTCGCCATTGACTTTCTCGGGCAGTGCAAACAAATGCTCGAAAAGATTGCTCTCTTTCGTGATTAGAATCGATTTCTAAAAGATGGATCGTTGAAAATAGAATATTAGAATAGAAAATAGAATATTCTAGATATCCTAGAATATTCTAGAAAAGAAAATAGAATCTTTTCTTCATTTTTCTTTACCTCATCTTGTGCTTTTGATAGAAGATATTCAGCCAATAAAAGATTTCCACTCTCCAAAGCGATTTGAAACGGTGTGGCGCCCTGGAATTTGAAATTTAACGATGATTTAACGATGATTTAACGATGATTTAACTATAATTTAACTATAATTTAACTATAATTTAACTATAATTTAACTATGATTGAGATTTTTTGAAATTGAACATTTAACCATAAAAAGCTTTAAGATCTAGGGAAATTTTGAAATACTTTTTTTTGAAGAAAAATTCAAGTTTCAAAGTAAAATAAGTTCACTTGCGCTTTCCATGGCTAATACACCCTTGGCTAGATTCGTTATTTATAATTTTGCAACTTTTTGATAACTACAAGTTTCTTATTTTTTAAATTTTCTTTTCATAACAAAGGTTTTAGAAAAAAACAAGAATCAATTCAAAAAATGGAACGTTTTACTGAGCTTTATGAGTTGTTAAAGCGATTTCCAAAGCACAAAGAAGGGATTTGTCGATGTGATAAGTCCAAAAATTTTTTAAGTTTCATATATTTTTGAGATTTGGTTGAGATTTGTTTCATATATTGTTAAGCTTTGGTTTAGATTTGGTTCAGACTTTTTCTCAGTATTTTCATCATTCAAAAAGATATTGCTAAATGAATAACGTGTTTCTTTTTCTAATATGGCTTGAAATGGCTTGATATGGCTTGAAATTACACCGCTTCAAATTACAGGCTTGAAATTATACCGCTTGAAATTACAGGCTTGAAATTACGCCACTTCAAATTACACCGCTTGAAATTACACCGCTTGAAATTACGCCGCTTCAAATTACACCGCTTCAAATTAAACGGCTAAAGCTTCAAGTTACAAGCACTTTTTCAATCGTTCAATTTTTCAATAAGCACGTGTGGCTGACTGGTTAAGTGTCTTTATATCTTCGCGGAGGTCGAGGGCCCAACCCCCCCCCGCGCCACGGCCACCACCCCTTCGGATTTCCCCTTCCTGGGGAGAGGTTTTCTGGGGGGGGTCCTGTGGTTGTGGCCCCAGTTCTTTAAAGTGACAAGCCACACTCCTTCATCGTCATCTTCCCTTCACCACCAAAAAGGCTATTTAGTTCCCCCATGAGCTTAGGGTTGGGGGGCCGTTGCTGTTGACGTGGGTTGTATTCCCCCGTTTTTAAAAAAAAATACTATGACATATACACAATTTGGCATTGTTTTTACAGAAAATTTTTGGGAAAAATGGATATCTGCCTCTCAATTTAAACAATTCTATTAGACTGTCTGACTAAACAATTCTATTAGACTGTAGGCTAATTTCCGCCATTTTATTTACGCAACTTGGTCGTTTGCGCAACTGGGCCCTTTTGCGCAACTCACCATAACTTTCTTCTAAGTGGACCAATCTTTATGATTTTGGTTTCATTTTGTTGGACTTATTGAGATCTACAAAATGAAACCAAAATCATAAAGATTGACCGATTTAGAAGAAAGTTATGGTGAGTTGCGCAAAAATGATCCAGTTGCGTAAATCAAATGGCGGAAATTAGCCTTTGATTTGTTTTTAAGAAATCCCAGCTCTGTGCAAAGATTTTTTTTGCCAATCTATTATCATACTCTTACGAAAAAAAAAATAAACGGTAATTTCTTTTTCCAATTCCCAACCTCTTCATGTTGAGCTGAAACCGAGGCGCCGGCTTTTAACAGAAGATCCACACATGCCTTGTACTGATCGATTGTGAGACTGGAAATTTATGAAAGCATTATCGTAATATTTCTTTCGAATAAATCAATTCTCTTTAACTTTATCTAATTTACCTTTTTAAAAACTTTTCTCTTAAAGAGCTGATTAAAGAAGATCTCTAAACTCATTTCCATTAAACAACAAAAAGCCTCCATCAATTCTTAGAATAAACAAAACACATTTAAGCATTGTATAAATTGAAACACAATTGAAACATTGAAACACACAAAAGTTCTTGAAAATCTTATTTTCTTGAAATGAATGTAAATGAAAATTTTCCTTGTTTTTTCTTGTTTGTTTTTTGTTTGTTTCTTGTTCGATTTCTTTGTTTTCACCAACCATTTCGTGTCATTTTTTGCCATTTTTTCACAAAGCGGCATTTTGAGACTCGCAAAAATGTGCAGCGGTGTTGTCCCCGACCCATCCCCGATCGAACAATCGGCACCTCTGAAATTACAACAAATTTTACTGAAAGTTTCTTTTGTGTTTCTTGATTTCAATTCACATTTGAAACTTCAAATCAAATTCAAATCCAAATTCAAATTCAAATTCAAATTCAAATCCAAATTCAAATTCAAATTCAAATCTTCAAACAAACCTCTCAGTGAGGAATTTGATCTGTTCGGGCAATTGTAGCGCAAAATTCTCGTCAAAATAAGAGAGAAGTGATGAGATGAGAGTGACGCCCTCGTTGTCCTGAAAGTTGGGGAGTTGAAATGAATTCTTGGAGTCCACTATGATCCCAAAATTAAGGCAAATTAGTCATTTTTATAGCTACCATTAAATTATAATATTATAGTATAAAAAAAATAACATAAAATAGTATAAAACCTTGCAATTGATTTCCACATCCTTTGAGTGCTCTCCGTCTAGCATCCACGAAACGATTCCGTAGTGACCTGAAAAGTTAGAAAGGTTTTGAAGCACTTGTTTAGATGTTATTGCCCTTAAGAACTAGACCAACTCTTGAATTTAATCAAAATTGATCTTTAGCTTTCAAAAACTCGAGAAAACTTTTACCTTTCAAATATGCGACGCTCAATGGAGTCAAATGCCAATCGTTGCTCGCCGAAAGACATGAGGGATCGACCTGAATTTTGGAAACTTGAAAAAAATGATGCGATGATGCAATTTAGACACTTTAGATCTCTTTCTTCCTTTCTTTCTTCTTCCTTATCTTCCCTATTTCTTGGGCAAAGAAGGCACCGATAGCTTAGTGGTAGAGCCTCTGCTAAAGGTCTGTTCAATTCCCCCTCGATTCCAAATTCTTTGTCATTAATTTCTTTACTTTATAAACTAAAGGAAACCTATCTTAGTGTCAATAGATAAAAGATAGAGCTTTTCTTCAAAATTATCCTGTATTCACCTCAGCCAGAATCTTCAGCGTTGACAAAAATCCGTAAGCAGCTGCGTAGTGAGCCGGTGAGTTGCCAGAGGAATCAGACTAAATTAGAAAAGCTTAATTATGATTAGTTAACTCAGAATAAACACAGAACTAAATTTAAACTTTTTCACTTGTTGTTTAAGTTAAAACTTAAGCTTTACAATAAAGTGTTCAAGTAAAGCTAAAGAATTGGACAGCTACAAGCTAAAATTGTTTGGTTTGGACTAAAGTTGTTCAATCCAATTTTTAGTCAACCATTTTATGAAACCAATTATTTTCTCTTTCTTCTCGATTTTCACTTTAAACTTTAAACACTTTAAACTATTTCCAAACCTTTTTCAAATCGGCTCCTTTTTTGAGTAAATAGGCAACAACGTGATCTTGACCGTTCATCGCTGCGTGGAGAAGTGGAGAGCGGCGGAGCTAAAGGTTGGAATTGTTGAGTTTCAAATTAGCGGCGGAAAAATGCAAGTAAGCAAATCTAGTATGATCTAGTATGCAAAATACGAGCAAAAAATGCGTTCTCTATACCTTGTCTTTCGACTCAATCAGCGCTTTCCCATCATCAATCAGCGATTTTGTCATCTCAAGCTGTCCCGTGCCGCAGGCAATCTAGAAAAGTCTTTATTTCAAAAAAACCAGATTCAGAAACGCTTTTTTCAAATCAGACGTCGGATTTAGAAAACTTAACTTTAGACTTTTGCTTAATTTCAAGAATAGCTGGTCATTTTTCCTTTAAAAACTTGATTCTATAGCTTTGTCCGGCACATTATGCTAACAAAAAACAGCAATGAGGTAACGGTAAGATTTTAGACTACTAGTTGCAAGAGAACTAAAGAATTTACTGCACTAGGAAGGGTGTGCAATCTTTGAGCACAAAGTAAAAGTAAATTACTCTTACCGACAACGGTGAGATCTTCTTATCGCCGGCTGTCGTCTGCGCTTCGACATCGATTTTCGGGTGCTTTAGCAAGATTTTCACTACATCGTGCCTTTCCCACAAAACGGCTAAATGAAGAGCGGTGAAACCGCGACGATCCTTGTAGTTGATGATCGATTTGGTCGGATCCACCTAGAATTTGGAATTTGGGAAATCTAAGTGTTTCTTCTAAGTATTCGCCTAGCTAACCTAGCTTACCAAAAGCTAATTTCTTAAAAAAAATATTGGGGCAATAAAAAAAAATCCCCGGAAAAACTCTTCCCCTTAATTTTTACATTTTTTCCTTTTTTTTTTCAAGGGGGTTTTGGCTTTGGCAATCCAACTTTAAGCTCAAATTTCTTGGTGTAAGGCTTTCCAATTTAAATAGTTTTTGTACCAATCGATAGGGAAAGATTTTGCACATCTAATGATACCAATAATTTATAAATTGAACAGCCCAAGAGCAAGATATTTGAGCTCAAAGTTAGATAGTTAATGCGGGGCACGTCCGATAACCTTAAAGAAAATGACTTCTTCCCGATTTGGCCTCTTTCCCACTTCAGAAACGATCTAATCTATCTAATTAATATATAAAGAATTACTAATAGTAACTCTTCAATAAACAGAATTTAGTGATTAAACAAAGCTAAGCAAAGCTACGCCAAAGCTAAGCCAAAGTTAGGCCAAAGCTAGATCCAAACCCGGCTCTGGTTTTGCCTGTCTTAGCCTGGTACGGAAAACAAGACTAAGAAAATCCTTTAACAATCCTTACCTTTATCTTCTTTGCCTTCTTTGCTCTCGGCTCATCCTCATTTTCTTCATCCTCAGCCTCAGTTTCCTCATCATTTTGTACTTTCCCATCCTTTGTCTGATTCTCGTACTTGTCGTACCATTCCAATAATGTCTAAAATGTTTTTTTTTGACTCAAAAAGCTTAAAAGCCCAAACCTTGACACAATCAATTCTTCCAGCTCTCGCGGCACAATGCAACGGTGTCTCCTCTCGTTTGTTCATCACCAAAAGTGGAGTGTTCATTGAGATCAAATATTTGAGGGGACCAGTGCCAGAGCAGACTGAAGCATAATGAGCAACTGTCCTGAAAAGATTTCACCGGTTCTTTTGCTTCAATCTTTTTGATAACAACTTTTTGATAACTTACCAATTATCGACGTCAACCATGCTGATGTTGGGCTCAATCGCGTGAAAAGCTTTCAAGTATTCGACGTTTGGATTGATAGCAGCAGTGTGCATCGGAGTGACGCATCGATTCTCAAATGCCTGAACAAAAAACACTCAATTTACAAATTTTCAGAAAAAAATGGGAGTTTTTCCACAAGATTCCTTCGAAAAAGGCTCAAATAAGCTTAAAAAATGACAATATGTAAGCGATAAACGCTTCTAATAAAGCAAACCGTAAGTTGATTGATGAATTTAGGGAATTTTAAACAAAACCATGGCAAATAGTGATATTTCACTTTACTTATAAACCCAAAAATAGCCAATTAAACTGCAATTAAACTTTCACTGACCTTTTTCTTGATGGAAATGCTCAGGATTCGTGCCGGCAACTTTCCGCCCCTGGAAAGTGGGTGAATAAATTTTCGAAATTTCAAAGAAGTCGGCTTTAGTGGACTTGATAAATTTTCAAGAATATTTATCTTAAACCTTGGCTTTATTGTTTTAGCAATAAGATGCTTAAAGTCAGCTAGCTAGCTTATTTTTAGATTTTAAAAGTTTCAAAAAGATCAGCTTCAGTTCAGAAAAATTCTTAATTGTATGCTGGGAACTTCAATTACTCTATACTCTAGATGAATAATTTCTCTGGAAACCATAAATACTTTTTTTTCCCTAAATTCTCCCTTACTCGAGCGTGATCTTGTGGAGCTCGTTGACATCATGATTGTGCACCAGCTTGATCACCTAAAAACAAAAAAAATAAAGATTTTTAAAATTAAAGATTATAGATTAAAGATTAAAATTAAAGAAGCTAAGATTTTGAATAAGATTCACTTTATTAATGTTAAAATTCAATTAAAAGATGTGCCTTTTTTGAGTTTAAAACTTTACTTATTTTAGAGAATTTTAGGGTACAATACTTCCGCATCTTTACCTTTATTCTTTACCTTCAATGCCAATAAATTTACATTGGATAAATGTTTTATTAGATATTTATCCAATAAAACAAGATAAATGTCAATTTCCGCCGGCATGTCTCTAATTTCGTAAAGATAAGAGGGAAAAATAATATAGACGACTTTATTAGGTTTCTCTTCACTCATGCTAGCTTAAATCTATTCAAAACCAGATCAAAACTAGGAAAAAACATGCTAAAATTAAGTGATAAGATGCTTAAGATCAATTTGCATGTTAACTTGCTGGCGGAGCAAAGATATGGAAGTCTCGAAATTAGCAATACCGACCTCCATTTAACAGAGCTAACTTTGAAACTCACATTTGATGCGGTCTCACGGAGCCCAAAGCGGATGACGTTGATGAGATCGGATGGTTCGAAAGCTTCGACTGCAAAACTTGCATTGATCAGTAAATTCGAAATTTTTGACTTAAGAAGATTTTGAACCCTACCTCCTTGACATTTTTCACATTCCGATTGAATTTTGTCCATCGTGAGGAAATCGATTCCACTCAACAGCGTCCGCACGCGCTCATCTGGATAACAGTAGTGATGGTTCTGAAAATTAAAATAAAAACATAAATTTCATGTAAGTGGCTTTTAAAAATCTCTTGGCCGAAGTCAGGATATTTTGAAAAAAATCTGGGTATTAAATAAAAACATGGAAAGTGGAACGATGTTTCAACTTGAAGCAGATGAAAATCGTTAATCATATTCCATTTAGGCAATTAAAAAATTATACACTATTCCTTCTTTATCGATCAAAGTTAGTTTAGGAATAGATTACAGTAATACATACGAAAAATAGCTACAACTACTAGAATACGAGGAACCGTGATTCCTTTTTGACACCAATTCTACTAATAAACAAATCTACACTGAATATTTTATACGGATTAAAGTGTTCCATAAAAAGTAGCTACCGTAAATACTGTAATAGTACCCCACCCCCCTCGTACAGTCCCGTAGTCGCAAAAGTTTTTTAGTATTTAATTTTTTTCAAAGCGCCCGTACTTTCAAAAAATGCGTCTTTGGTATCAAAAAATAGCTGAAATTCAGGGCTATTTTTTGATACCTAAGCGCGCATTGTAGCCTAAACCAGTGTCGAGAAAAACTCGTTCAAAGCTAGACTACGCAACACTCCGCACCGTCATTATGGGGGTGGGGTACTATTACAGTATTTACGGTACGCGTAATCTGAAATTCAGTTTCAAACGAACTCGATCATTTTCCTGATAGATGACAAGCGCATTATTTCCCTCGCGTGCACCTCTACTCATCTCGATCTGACGAGTCCTTCGACCCAACATAAAGAAGTTGCGATGACCAACTGAGCGCTGAATTTGTCAGGTTTTCCAGTGTCAGGTTTTCCAGTGTCAGGTTTTCCAATGCAAGTTTTTTGCAAAATCCAAACTTAAGACATTTGAAATCCGTTTAATGTTATTTTACAGAAAAATGATTAGCCTTTTTAGTGAAAAAAAAACCGTAGTTCAATTAGTGCATTTGTTGGTTTTAAACGGAAGTATGAAAAAGGAACGAAAAAATTTTCTGCACAGCCTAATAAAAGGCCAATCATTTTTTTTCTCACTCACCCTTTGCAAGAGATTCGGCTCATGCGCGACCTCTCGTTCGATTTTCTGAAGTTTCGGCAATTCTTTCAAGTATTCTTCGATGAGTTTTTTATCCCCTGAAGTCATCACAACAGCCTGGGGAGTCTCCCAAACAAGATACGAGAACGATGTTTGCAGAAGGTTAAGGTCGAAACTGAATACTCATATTTTTCATAAAGCAATCTGAATTTTTACAATTTCAAATTAATAGTTCCAAAAATTTTTGTCAACGATTGTAGATTTAAGATTGAACTCGAAGCGGATAACTTTGAAAATTGAAATTTTAAAGTAGGGATCCTACAAACTTAGCCTTTCGCTCAAAAATTTCACCCACTTTTTCTGCGAAACAATCGCTTTGAACTCTTTCATATCCTTTTTCTTCAACGCCCTGTAAACGGCTCGGTGTTGGGTGGCCGAGGAGACGTAATCGGGATTGCTTTTCCCGAAAATGAAGGGATTGACCTAAAATTTGTTATAAATTCATCTTGTTCATTAAACGAATTCAAATATATGATTTTTTGCTTGAGCCTAAACAAGGCTTATTAGTGTATATGTTACGTCCGATTAAGAATGTATAGAAAACACTAGTAAATGCTTGAAAAAAATTTAGATTTGGATCATTTCGCATTGAGCATTTCACATTTTTACACAATTAATTCGATAAATTCTTAATCGGACGTTACGTTTATTCACCAACCGCATATTCTTTCACCCCCGGTCGAGCCACTAAACGATCGTTGCCCACTTTGCGAATCTAAAAAAAGTATTTATTTCAAGATTAGCCCATTCTAAAAATATAATTATTTTCCTAATGAAATCGGTTTTTCAAAACAAACTCCTTTACCTTTGCGGTTTTTGCTTTTTCTTTCTTCGCCTTTTCCACTTTTCCTTTCGCGGTTTTCTTGCTGATTTTCCCGTCTTTCACTTTTCGAATCGGTGTAGCGGCTTTCTAAATCTTTTTGTCTTTAGTATTTTTGAAGAATGATTTTATTCTAAAATTAGATAGAAAAATAGAAATGTTTTAGACGATATAATTACAATTAGACGCACAATTGCTGTTAATTAGCTTTAGATTACCAATGGTAATCTAAAGCTATGATCTATGGTAAGCTAAAGTGCTTGTCAAATTTGAGACTTACATTTACATACTATGCAAACTCAAGCAAATATCCCAATTTTCCTCTTTATAACCTTTAAAGTTTGATATAAGTTCTCACCTTTGCATGACGCTTCCCCTTTCCTTGTCCTCCTTTCCTTTTCGGGGTCCTCGCCGTGCCACCGCCAGGCGCCGAATAAACGAACGGAACGAATTGTTTCCGATCACGACGAAGTCGAGCCGGTGCTGCAATTTGTTAGAAATTAAACATTTTTCATTGCTACCCATCGAGATATTGATCTTAAACTTGAACGGTTCATTCTAAGTTAAAAACTCGAGATCATCGTGATTATTATGGGCGATTACTTTTCAATTTAAACAATAAAAGTCATCAAAGTTGCAACTAGATATTTCAAAGCTTTGAAAATCTAAAATTTGGCAACTAATTACTTTTAATATGTGCATAGGTTATGAATTTCGTCCGCTTTTGAATCATCAAACCTACACTTTGATCTTTTTTGTTTTTTTTTGTAATGATCTATGATTTTTGAGTTTCAATTTCTATTCATAAAACTTTAAATTCATAATTTGAATCCTAGCTAATTTGCACCCGCATTTCTATTTTATTTTCCTTTATTTAAGTTGTTATAAGTTGCGCTTGTTATGTTTGTTTTTGATCATTTACGTTTTCGATCGTTTGTTGCCAATAAATTTTGAAATTTTAAAGTTTGATGATGGATGATTAAAAGATCAAAAGAAAAAATGCGTTATTTTCGAGGATTTAGTGGTAGAATTTGGAAATTGTTGAAATATAGGTTAGACGATTTAAAAACGGACGTCCGATTCAGAAGTAGATTCAATAATAGATTCAATAACGGACGTAACATTTAGAAAATTTTTTAAAACAAGGCAAATGATTAGGTATTGGCTTTAAATGAACATAAAAACATAAAATTTCTAAATGCTAAAATTGCTCACCTGGATGACCGGGATAAGGAGTCTGGACGGCTTTTCCTCTCACCGGGATCACCTTCATCGGCACTTCTTTCACCACCGCCATTTCCACACAAGAAGCAGCAAGTTTTCTGAAAAAAAAAAGATTAGGTATTGGCTTTAAATGAACATAAAAACATTAAATGAACATAAAAACATAAAAACACAAATAAACATACTCTATAACATAAAATAAACATAATCCTTTATCAAATGTAAATCCTTTATCAAACTTTTCCTAGTTTCTTTAATTTATCCTTTAAAACTTTGAAAACGACAATTCAAGAGCGACAATCAAGAGCTCAAAACTTGTATTAACCAAACTTTAAGCAGTTTTTATTTGCAAAATGCAAATTTACCAGCAAAAGCTATTCTAATAAAGGATTTACAACAAAATAAAGTAAATTGCTATTTATAAAAAACAAAAAAAAACCGGAAACACTCATTTTTTCTAGGAAAAGTGACGAGCATGCTAACTTTGGCAAAAGAAGAAAACGATAAGAAAGATTCTGGAGGTATTTTTTGAAAAAAAAAACGCGTAAAAATCTTGGAGGAAACGAAACGGAATAAACGAGAGAAGAATGGGAGGGAATGGGCTGAGTCAAAGGGTACATAGTGAGAATTGGAAAAAAAGGAAAAAAAGAGATAAGCATTAAACAAAAAATGTGAGATTTATATAGAATTCATGTAGATTTTTGAAAAGTTAATGAAAAAAACTGCTGAATTCCGTGAAATCTTTGAGTTTTGAAGTATTTGCTCACCAACTCAAAACTAATTTTGTTGAGTTTATCAGATATTACCTAAAATTGAAACATCACTTTTGAAATCAAAACGATTTAACTGTCAAAAGCTATATTAAGCTTCTAATATCTTTTTTTGGGTATTCAAAAACGATAACGATTCAAGAAAATTGTTAGATTAGCTTTTCCATCAACAAAAACAAAGGATTCGAGGCTACTTTGCGCCAACTCGCCATCACTTTCTTCTAAATGAGTCAATCTTTATGATGTTGGTTTCATTTTGTAGATCTCAATAAGTGCAACAAAATGACATCAAAATGATAAAGATTGACCGATTTAGAAGAAAGTTATGGTGAGTTGCGCAAAAAATTTGGCGCAAGTAGCCACAAGGATTTATTAGAAGAAAGTTAGTCATTTCATGTTGGGTGGGCATTTTTTTTTGCAAAACCACTTTGTCTGGGATAGTTTTATGCGCAAATTCCAAAAAACACAACGAGAGCTTGGGAAAATGCGTTTTAAGTCGAGTTTCGGAGCTTTAAAGTGCGCGCTTAGTGTACTTCAGTACTTCTATAGTGTACTTCAGTCATGTCATGTTGGGAAGCCTTTTTTTTCTTCAAAACCACTTTGTCTGGGGTAGTTTTATGCGTAGATTCCAAAAAATACAACGAGAGCTTGGGAAAATGCGTTTTAAGTCGAGTTTCGGGGCTCCAAATACAGTATGATACAGTGCGCGCCAATACACTATGATGAAAGGGGATACACATAGGGAAGAGGTCTAAAAAATCGTCTCTCAAAGCGTTTTTTGAAACCAAAAACACTTCTTCTGGCATAATTTCACCTATTGATTACGTTTCTGATCAAATTGAAGCAAAATAGAAATAAAACTCGGCTTAAAGCGTCTTCTAGCCGACTACCACTCCGCCACTCTGCCACCGCTTCTTAAGGACTCTGGGAAATCTATAGACACGAAGGGAGGATTTTTACACTTCTTGCTACACATACACTTCTTGCTCGGCTTAAAGCGCATTTTCCCAAGCTCTCATTGTATTTTTTGGAATCTACGCACAAAACTACCATAGAAAAAGTGGTTTTGAAGAAAAAAAAAAGGCGCCCCCGCTTCCCAACATAACACGCTTCTAAAAAACTTTCAAAACTCAACAAGGAAACTTTTTTTGCAAAAGCTATAGACATTGAAAATTCTATAAAAATTTGAAACAAGTATGTATAATACTTACCGTAAATACTGTAATAGTACCCCACCCCCATAATGACGGCGCGGAGCGCTGCGTAGTCTAGCTTTGAACGAGTTTTTCTCGACACTGGTTTATACTACAATGCGCGATTAGGTATCAAAAATAGCCCTGAATTTCAGCTATTTTTTGATACCAAAGACGCATTTTTTGAAAGTACGGGCGCTTTGAAAAAAATGAAATACTAAAAAACTACTAAAACTTTTGCGACTACGCGACTGTACGAGGGGGGTGGGGTACTATTACAGTATTTACGGTAAGCAAAGTGTAGGTAAGCATTTAGGTAAGTATTTACGGTAAGCAAAGAAAGTGTTGTTATACAAATTTCAAGAAAATTCATTAAAAATTCATGAAAAATAGTGCAAATATGCATAAAAGTGTTATTAAAAAAGTTAAGAGCGCAAAAAAAGCCAAGTCTAGTTATTCATTTTGCTTTAAATTTTTAATTGAATGCTGAGAAATGTGTAAATCTTAGAGTACACTTTTCTTAGAGTACACAAAGCCGATTTAAACCAAAATTTAGTGCAAAGATCGAGCTAGTTGTGCAGTGCCTAGCAACAAAGATTTCAGCAACTGAATTTTTGATTCTTTTTTTTGGAGGAAAAGGCAAATGAAAAAAAGCAAAGCGATAATTTGGAAATAATAGAAAAAAAGGAAATTTAGTTTTGGAAAAATGAAAGCAATGGTATTTCAAGTTAGGTCAAAGTAGTTACACATTTACTTTACATTTACAAAACGTTTTTTTGAATTGATCAGATTTCACTAAACTCAGTGCTTATTTTATGGAAAAACAAAAAACCTTAAAAAAACACAACCAGTCTAAAAGCGGGTTTTTCTGGTTTTTCTGACTGGGCCTTTCTGTGGTCGTGGCCGAGTCGAGAGTGCGCTTGGCTACGGCCCAAAAGATCCGGGTTCGACCCCCCATAGTGCCACTGCATTTTGAATTTTTGAATTTTGATTTTAAATGACATAACTACAATAGATTCTAAGGTTTTCTAAAGAAATTTTAGGAAAGATTTAAAACAAAACTTTGAATAGAATCTTTTAAAACTTTAATCCTTAATATGAAACTTTATCTTAATCTTTATATTTATCTTTTTGACCTGGCTTTGGCCTGGCTTTGGCCTGGCCTTGGCCTGGCTTTGGCCTGGCTTTGGCCTGGCCTTGGCTTGGCTTTGGCCTGGCTTTGGCCTGGCCTGGCCTTGGCTTTAGCTTTAGCTTTGGCTTTAGCTTTGACTTTGGCTTTGACTCTAGCTTTGGTTCTAGCTTTGGCTTTGGCTTTGGCTTTATCTTTATCTTTATCTTTATATTTATCTTTATCTTTATATTTATCTTATCTTTATATTTATCTTATCTTTATATTTATCTTTATCTTTATCTTTATACTTATCTTATCTTTATACTTATCTTTATCTTTATCTTTATCTTTATCTTTATCTTATCTTTATCTTTATCTTTAATCCTTAACTTTTAATCCTTAAGCTTTAATCCTTAAACTTTAATCCTTAAACTTTAATCCTTAAACTTTAGTCCTTAAACTTTAATTGGTTTTAATTCTAGCAATTTAAAAACTTTGACAAGATTGGCAAAAATTCAACAACAATAATTCAATTCAACAACAATAGTTCAATTCAACAACAAAATATAACTATGAAAATATTTAGCCAACTTTTATATCCATTTACATATCGTTTTTGAATGGGTGGGATTTCACTTGTTAAAACGCGTGAAACTCAAAATAAGTGCTTATTCTCTGGAATTAGTCATCGAAAGAGAAAGAAAACACGTTGCATCTCGGGAATTTCCCAAAGCAGCAAACAACAGCAAGAGATTGGAGAGAATTGCGAAAAGAGCCGTTTTTTTTACTCCTTTCTCCATTCTCTTTTTACTCTGCACTATCTGTGTTCTGACGCGTTTCAACCGTTTCCCCCAGCGACCTTTTTTGGGAGAATTTTTGAGGGTTCATTTGAGCATTTCGACTTGCCAAATGCTTGGCATTGATATTAATATTGTTAATATTTATGAGACAATTTCACTGAGCCTCAGCTTTGTGAACTTTTGAATCAAAGCTAACAAAGCCCACAAAACCGACAAAGCCGACAAAGCCGACAAAGCCGACAAAGCCGATAAAGCCGACAAAGCCGACAAAGCCGATAAAGCCCACAAAGTCCACAAAGCTCACAAAGCCCACAAAGCCTCTGATGTGCTAAACTTTAATTGAAAATTTCTCGAAGCAATTCATTTCCTACATTACTTTCAATACAAACGGTGAACTTAATTTGTAATTGTTGAATTCTTGAATAATTATTGAATTCTTGAATGCCATTTTTGGCTCGAATGCCATTCTTGGACTTGTTTTTTGTGGACTTTTTTTTGTGAATTGTTTGACAACAAGGATATTTTACTTCACGAATAGTTGGAATTTGTTCCCGAAACCCGAATGATTAATTTTGTTTAGTTTTTTAGATATTCTCTAAAATTGAAACATTACTTTTCGCATCAAAAGCTATTTAACTATTAAAACTTAAATTTAAAGGCTATTTGAAGCTTTAAGCTTTTCACAAGAGAACAAGTTTTGGAAGTTTTAGCGTTTTAGCGGCGTGTTTTGGATACGGCGCTGCTTTGGTCGGCGCTGTTTTGGATACGGCGCTGTTTTGGATACGGCGCTGTTTTGGATACGGCGCTGTTTTGGATACGGCGCTGCTTTGGTCGGCGCTGTTTTGGATACCGCGCTGTTTTGGATACGGCGCTGTTTTCGGATACGGCGCTGTTTTCGGATACGGCGCTGTTTTGGATACGGCGCTGTTTTGGATACCGCGCTGTTTTGGATACCGCGCTGTTTTGGATACGGCGCTGTTTTGGATACGGCGCTGTTTTGGATACGGCGCTGTTTTGGATACCGCGCTGTTTTGGATACGGCGCTGTTTTCGGATACGGCGCTGTTTTCGGATACGGCGCTGTTTTGGATACGGCGCTGTTTTGGGTACGGCGTTGTTTTGGGTACGGCGCTATTTTGGGATAGACCCGTAAGTTTTTAAAACTGATTTTAAGGA